TAACTAAAACGCGGTATACACTCACAGTCACACTGCCTACGTTGCCTTGTCACAATGGATAATTATATCAAATTGACATCAGCTATGAGGTGACTCATGCATATATTTTCATGCCTGCGACTCTAGTTATAACAGCTACCCCTTAAAATTGCTAAATCTGGTTAAAGGGATTTCTCATTAATCCAAGAGCACCCTGTTACTCAACACCATATTTTTAAACACAATTTTAAAGCAACTGTTCTTCTTTGTTTTGTCAGTGTATAAGTAATACGATTAACATTCTCAAAATATGTGTTCCAAGCTTGTTTGTGGATATTAATACTAGTATGAGCTCTGAGGGCTGGCCAGTCGGCTTTTTCAAGGCTCAACTAAATAAAAAACTAAAAAAACTAAAAGTGACAGTTTCCATGGAAGCAGCACAGAGCACATTATTAATGGTGGTTGAACGTTCGGACATGATTATAGTATAAAGAATTTACCTTTGTTAAGGAGGAAAAAAATCAGATATGGAGATAAGAATTGTTTTCTAAAAACCAACAAGTTACCAGTAGATTATATGTATTTCTGCAGTACAGTTAGCCGTTTTCATTTGGGGCTATAACAGTATTGACTCGCTTACTCACAAGCCCTTTTGAGGTCTATAATTTTTATCCTGAGGGGAGGAGGGCGTAGGAAATTCTTTGAAGGCTATTTAACCCAAACTGAAAGTCAGCCATCAACCTTAATAAGACCAGATTTGCATTTAATTTTAATTTAGTTTCTTTTTATATGTTTATGGCGCTCTTGGGATCATAAAGAGAACTAAATCTAGATCAGATTTCGTAGCTATTAAATGATAAAATCATCATCATTGTCACAAGATAAGGTCAGCGGAGTGGCATTAGTGTATTGGCGTTACCGTTTACATGTAATCCAATCAAGAGGAGGAGACCAGAGTTAAATACATGTCTGGTACAAATTCTCAGAAGATGTCTTAAATTTAATCACGGCCAGGCATGACCCTCCTTGATATACATCATGTCTGTTCAAATAAAAGCAGCCATGAAGTTACACAGGCCAGGCCAGTGTTTCCAATCAGCCACAGCCTCGGTGTGTGCACAGTGGACACTGGCCGAGCTGGTAGCCTTTCATTTGATGACATAAACCTGAGAGAAACTTTCAATACCTGACTTCTTGAAAACTTGGTTAGCATTTATACAAGTGACTGAATCTAATCTTTTTTTATCATTCGCCATCAAAGCGGGACAACACAAAGAGTGACTGTACTGCGAGGGTTAGACATCGATATGTTGGCATACAATGGATAGATGGACGATAAAACTGCTGCTTTACCTTTGTGATAAGAAGATAACAAATGGATTCTAAAAACTGAGCAGGGAAAATAGTGACATCTGAATGACATTTTCAGAGAGACCGAGCGTAGCAGAAACAAGCCTAATGAGAACACGCAAGAAATATAAGCGGTTGAAACAGCAATGTGAGTCATTAAATATTGTAATTATCCTGTGGGTGTTGGTAGTTTAATTCTGGGTTGTAAATTAACTCATTAACATAATACTGGGCTATAATTAACCCTGGTTTGTATACTTCTTCAATTAAAGCAACTTAAACAGAGATTACAGGGTCAGCTGAGACAATCCAGCTTTTAGATTTGATTTATTGATTAGACACTGCTTCCCTTTGCAGTGGGACAGCCCATTTCATTGAGAGGGCTATCATCTGAGTAGGTAAACTGTTAGCAGCACATAATTGTTGCCATGGGGATGGTGTCCAGGGAGACAGCTGTGGCCTTTTAGCAGCAGTCACACAGCACACAGAAGGTCATTCCTCACCCAGGGTACCTTTCTCTGGCTGTCTATCACAGATAGTTTCTTGGCAACAGGAGAGAAGATTCAAACAGTATACCTTATCATCATGTTCTTTTGCCATTTACGTAGCACAAAACATTTTTTTAAGACAAACACAGACATGAGACAATAGTTCACAACCTCTTGAAATTCATCCTTACTGTCACAGCAAATGCTGCATGCACCTTAGGCAACCGCTTGACCACAAAGAAAATGGAAAACAGTGCAAAACTATTGGTTAAAAGGTTTCAGAGGGAACAGAATCTACCATATGGCGGAGAACCATGCAGAGGCTGCTTGTTCAAAAGTGGACAAGAATTAAAAGAGTTAATCCCCCTCCTAAAAATGTACATATAGGAAATCTGTCCATCCAGTAAGATATCAACAGTGGACCTCATTCATCCTCAGTTTCTCAGAACTTCTGGTTTTATGTCCCAGTCACTCTTTTTTAGACTGATCCTTCAAGGTGTCATGGTAAGGCCAAACATCGAGGCAACACGACCTCACCACAGGGGTGCCACAAGGCTCAGTGCTGGGTTCCCTCCTCTTTACGATATACACCACTTCGCTGGGCCCAAACATGCAGTCACATGTCTTCTCCTATCACTGCTATGCAGACGACACCCAGCTCTGTTTGTCCTTTCCTCCAGACGACCTCTCAGTACCAACGCCAATCTCGGACTGTCTTTCTGACATATCTGCATGGATGAAAGATCACCACCTCCAACTGAATCTCTCCAAAACTGACCCACTAAGACTGTAAGAAACCTGGGCGTCATGATTGATGATCAGCTCATTTGCGGATCATGTTGCCTCCGTTTCATTATCGTGCCGTTTCTTTCTGTTCAACATCAGGAAGATTAGGACATATCTTACCCAACATGCGACACAGCTCCTGGTACAGGCCTTAGTCATCTCACGACTCGACTGATGCAATGCCCTCCTAACGGGCCTTCCAGCCTGTGCTGTGGAAAAAGCTACAGATGATCCAGAAACCTGCGGCCCGTTTGGTTTTCAACCAGATAAAGAGAGCACATGTCACACCCCTGTTCACTAAACTCCATTGGCCTCCTTTAGCTGCTAATATCAAATTAAAATCCCTGATGCTGGCCTACAGAGTATTTGATGGATCCGTGCCCATCTACCTCAACACCCTCTTAAAGCTCCATGTCACCGCTCGCCTACTCTGTTCCTCCAAGGAGCTCCAGCTAATACGACCCATACAGGTCAATCTAGACTCTTCTCATCTGCTGTTCCACGCTAGTGGAACAACCGCACAAGCACTATCAGAGCATCAGATTCTTTTTCCTTCTTCAAGAAATCCTTGAAGACCCATTTTCTTCCGAGAGTATCTCTTCTCCTGAAAGCTCTAAATGCACTTATTTCCTAATAGCATATAGCACTCAGTGTATGATACTTGTGTAATCTGTCATAGTTGAATGTTAAATCCTTAATGTTAAATCCTCTTCTACCACATTGCACTCAAGGTAAGTTTTTAACTGGTTTATTAATTGAATGTTAAACCCTCTTTTTGTAAGTCGCTTTGGATAAAAGCATTTGCTAAATGCAAAAGTGTAAATGTAAATGTAAGATTGTGGTATCCATTAGTATTTTCTTAATAATACATTTTACATGATGTGTATGAACATATACAATGTTTAAAAAAAGTGTTTGTTTTATTTTCTGTTGTGTAGTTTATCAAAACACATTGATAATATTAAATTTGATCAAAAGTATTAAGAGGTTTAAGTCAAAGTTAATTGGATTTATCCTAGTCACATATACTCCAGCGAAAATATTGGAAAAAACTAGGCCTCTTTCAACTCTAAAATCTGTCTTTGCATATATGACCACGACGCAGTCTGTTTAAGTAAAGCTTTTACATAGTGAGAGCAAAAGCTCTGTTGCATCTGCACTGCCTCCTACAGTTTTTCCCATTATGAATGAATAAATAAATAAGCATTAACATTCACCTTAATGATTACATAGCATTACTTATTCATGTTGTTGCTGCTGTGCATGTTAGCCACAGTGATAGGGCATTCTGACTAATCTCTGTGTCTTCTTCACCGAGGAATATATGCTCTGATAAAGGAGGGTGAGGTTGACACAGTGGTGTGATTTATAGTGAGTGAGATGATGGTCATTTGCATCATTTTAAACTATCAAAGCGCAACAGCAGAGAATTTAATGTGTAAAAAAAAAACAGCAAATGCATGCACAGGCTGACTTTAGCACTAAGTCATTGGCATGTTTCACTGAATGTAAAGTGACCAAGACCTGCAACAGAAGCAGCTACAGATTCCGCTGTGTCAGTTTCTCTCCGCCGTATGTTCACACTCCTGCAAATGGGCATGTTGCCGAGACAACAGTTTACACACCTTGCTGTCAGAGACCACCTGGAGGAGTCCTCCAACGGATAAATTAGTATAAGTACAAATATGCTTAGACTGTGCAAACAAAAACACGCACACTGTGGCAAAAGTCCACTTCGAAATACAGACACTGGGTATTTTTTTCTCTTAAAAGCACCTACTCGACAAATGATCTGAGAATTGACTCACGTCTTTTGTGTCCAAGCAAAGAAGTGAAAAAATATTCAAAAAGAGCAGGATTTTAAAACCTATGTGTTATCTTCTGTCAGAATATAGCTGTATTGGAAGACAACAATGTTAAGAATCAATGTCAGGAATCATCAGTCTCAAATTGTGACAGGAAGCATCACATCATTTTCATCATCCTTTTCTGATGCGACAGATAAAACTTTGTGCAGTGCTCTGACTTCATCAGTATATGATTTTGGCATCAAATTATTTCAACTCTGAATAGTGATCATTTTGCAGTTGCATGATCTTAATAAAACATTGCAATGGCAAATGTGACTACCAAGCTAAATGTTAGGATGCAACTTTTAAGTCAGTCAGTGGATACACCAAACCACATGCACGCCTTTCTTAACACCACAAACCTATAACTGCACATGCAAGACTGAGAAAACGACAAATCTGTGACGTACATGTCACACCATTTAAAACAGCATCTCGTAGTTATCTCATAGTTACGAACAATGGATCGTGAACGTAATGCATTTTGGACTGGACTTATTTTGCAATAGAAATTACTACACTAGGGAGAAGAAAATATTAAGATTACCAGTTTCTTATACTGTTGTCTCTCTTGTCGCAAAGTGGCTACTTCAAATTTTAATGTTCGGTTCTTCTCCTCCAGCAGTCGAAAGCGGTTCACGTAGTGGACCGCAGAGTGTCCAGATGTTGGCTGGGATGACACCTCATATCTTGACTGAAAGACAAAAACATATATATGAAATTACTAAAGGTATAATTTCATATAATTGTTACTCTCAACGGGGTTTGTAGTAAAAGATGTCATGCTAACATATCTGTGAGGTTACCACTTGGCACAGCTAAATGTTAATATAAAAATTCCCATATGTACTTAAAGACATTATTTGGAGGTGTTGAAATGTATTCATTATCGCATTATTATCAATCACAAAAGCTGACTGTCAATATTATACCTCAACATGATCAACATGGGTCACGCAACACTTACTTTCTGTTTAGAATTGTGTGTTTTGCATCTGTTTAAGTTGTGTCAGACCATTTTACCTGACAAATGATTGACAGAGAGACCAAATGGCCAGTGTAATTGTGGTATATGGAGGGAGTACAAGGATTTGGTTAATTCAAAGGAAAATGGGTCAAATGGTTTACTGTCAATCTTACTTAGAGCTGTTTCACTTTTTGAGGCTTGTCACAGGTAAATGATTCCAGAGCCCAAAAAATAAGCTGCTGCTGCTGCCACAGGTTTTGAGCCTCTGAGTGATTGATGAACAGTTTCCTCCAATTCTCAGAGTGAAAAAACATTTGGCCAAGACTCTTTTTTAAAATATAGGGTAACTTAAGTACTCAGTAGTCAATCTCACTTTCTTTGAGTTTTAAATCACTCGAATACAATGCATTTTCTCTAGTTTGTGTCTAAAAAAGAATCAGCCCTTTTTTAAAACCAAAACATGATTGTGTGCTTTACTAATCTGATGGAGGGCTACAATCTGAAACCCAAAAAGGGCTGCTGACATCCTCTTTGGCTCCTGAAAAAGCCTACTTTGCTTGCCCAGCCACTGCAGTAATGAAATCATAAGCAAACATTACTCTGTCAAACAAAAGAAAGGCTTTACTGAATTAGTCTAAATTCTTTTCACTTGAATCACTTTGCTTTATATCCTGACTCACCATCCACACTTTTTAAATGACCACTTCTATTTGAGAGGGAAATGTAGGCAGAGGTCACTATTCCCCTAAACCACTGTTCACATGCCAATCGACAGATGGCTCTAACATTAGTTTTTATGATACAAATAAATCAATTAACATCCCATCAGAATACTTGGTATCTGGCAAACAAATCGCCTCCTGTAAAAAATGACAATTGACTGTTAGCCAGACTGGAATTCAGTACAAAACAAAAAACTATACAACTGTTTATTCTGACTGCAAAACACTAGAGCCAGGATGGCAAACCTGCCAAGCAGCATTGAGATTCACCTGCTCAAACAGAAAAGCTGCCAAGCAGACAAGGAAACAGATAGACTTGCCAATTATACCAGTTGAATAATACATTCAGTCAGCCTGTCTAGAGAAACATAAGAAGCTGTATGGAAAACCTGAGAGTGCAGAATTTCGATTTAATGCATTAGAATATGAAAATAGAACGCAAAAGGAAAAATAAACAAATAGATACCAAAATTACAAATAGATATGATAGTTACTCCAACTTTAGTTTCCTCAGTTTCTGTAGAATCTGGATTATACAAAATACATACCTCGAACGTGGTTTGGAAAAAATATGTATGAATTCCATTTCTCCAGAACAGATGTATCTTCTCAAACATTTGCTCAAATAATATAATAATGATATATAATATATAATATAATAACCGAGAAACTCTTCAATTTTTTGTTTGTTTTGTTTCTTTGTTTTATTTTGCTGGATTTCACTACTACTAGTATGAACTATTTGTACTACTTCGTACTACAAAATGGTAAATAAATCAAAATTGTGCGTACTCTGCCAAGAAAAAAAGAAGCGAAGACGAAGAAGCTGTAGCCAGCACTGACAATAAAAAGGAAGCACAGGGAGGAGCAAAAGAGCTAATTGATAACAACCATTTCAAAAGTGTTCATTAAACAGACATTACATTCACCACCATAAGACATAAGTATGTCAGCTGCATCAAAGATATATGTTTGCTCACTTGTTTGTGCTAAAACTGGACTGGCCTCCCTCACACTGCATCAACACAGAGAACAAAAAAGTCTGATGCTTTCTTTAGTCTATTGCTTTTGTCTATATTTACTTTTTATTATTCTTATGTTGAGGTAATAGAGCTGAACATCTCATCAGGTGAAAGCCTGTTTAAATAATAATTTATGAAGTCCAAGGATACTAGACCCACCTCCGAGTGAATCATTTAATAACAAAGGCAAAATCATTTTTCTCCTTTTCAGAAGGAGCTAAATTAAAGTGGCACCGTGAAAAGTGCTGACAAACGTTCTGTGCGATCTGTTCAAGCATTCTGAGTCTGAGGTAGCAAAGGGAAAACGATAAAACCAGCTATTTCGTTTCATTTTGCAATATCTTATCATATTTCCACAGTTTTTGTGAGGCACAATCTTGGAACCCCTCAGCAGTTGTCTGATGATGATGCCTCTAGGGATAATGTCCAGCATCCCTAATCTGAAAATGTGGTCTGCACATATCAGAGAAATGTAAGAAAGATACTGCATATAGCCAAGACATTTTTATTTTAAATTCTAGTACAATGTTTAAAAGTAATTTTTTGAGAAAAAAAAGTTCAGTTGTCAAGAGACGATAGAACCTGCATTAGTTACATGATTCAGAACATCTGTTAATGTGAACAAAGGCCACTCAAACTTGATTTGCAATTAACAAAAACAAAAACAGAAACTCCAAAAATGATTTTATCAGGAATTGTTTCTTCTGTTAACAGTGTCTGCACATTCCTATCAGGTGAGGTATCTGTTCATAAAGATTAAGCCTATCATCATGTAGCGTCACAATAGTCAAGGGTTCATTCTTTTTGTATTTGTGGGGCTTCATGATACTAACTATAAAGCTTTTGGCCACAAGGCAGCCGATGACTAAAACCCACCGACACAAAGTAAGTAATACTGCAACAGTCAGCAGACTGAGAATGTGTAAGGATGGTAAGAGGAACAAAAAGAATTCATTAGTGGAGAATAAATCCATACCAGGCAGCCTCAGAATGAATAAGAGAGGAGACCCTGCAGCAGTTATCTTTTGTCTCTTGTGAGAGGACTAAACACATCCAAAATTGTGAGTGAAAATCAACCCACTAGAACTTAGAATCTCCAGGTCATTTAAAACCTTTCCAGATTGTTGGTGTGCTCTGATAAAGTCCACATATAACAACAAAACTATATGACAAAATTACCATTTAAATAACTTTGTCAGGATTGTCAGTGAACCTAATTCAAATACTTCCATGTACAATGATCTCCCACGGAAAAAAAAATCAAGAACGGTATAATGTTATGCCTGGTTGTCCTTCAATTCAAACAGTCTGCAGTGTCACTGTTTCATGCATACTTAAGTTAAAAACTCAATTTTGCTTCCCTAACATGTAAAATGGAACAAAAGTGGCAGTCCAGTTAAATGGCCAGTGTACAGGCCTCACCTGTTCATGTAACTGTGGTGGGTACATAAATGTTCCATTTAAAAATCATTAATATTTGCAGGAACTGTTGTTTTTTTCAGGTGTTAAGCTATTACAGCACATAGTTATGCAACAGGAAATTTTGCATACTTATACAATGCAAAGTCAGGTTTTACCTGTAATTAACATTGACCATTTTTGTCATTGTGGCACAATTGTTGGCATTACCTCTGAACTTTACTTTAGAAAACGGCATTCTCTGGCATTTGTAGTGAATGTCAGCTGATTTATATTAAAGGAGAAATAGAAAAAAAATGGAAGAATGGCCTGTAGTGGATGGTTTGGAACAAAGGGCAATGTGGTTAAGTGGCATTTGCTCAGTCAGTTGAGCGGCCAGGACACCCAGTGTTAATCTTTTTTGAGTAGGGACGGAACCATTTAAAATCACTGTTGCACACTGCCATCTGGTGCTTGAGTGAAATCCTTGCATCAGTGTTTTTTTCCTAAAGGTAGTCAGTTATTATTGTAAAACTGCTAACTTGCTGTGAAACGGATTCACTACAACAGAAGATGGAACTTTTCAGATCCATAAAACAACTCCCATTCAAGGTGGCATTTACAGAGCAAAATACTCATCAGCGCAAATAAAAACATATATTAATCTTTTACTTAAAAACGCATGAAAATCATAATTTCATGCAAAGAAAAAAGAACTCTGACAAGGATGCGACAGTGCACACATTCTTGCAGTTATTAAAGTAAAAACGGACCTACCTCAAAGGCAGTGCCACTTTTGTCCCAAAATGACTCTCCTCTCTTCCCGTCACATTACTAACTGGCAGCTAAGGCAGAAGCAACACGTCCGTGCGTGTACACGTGCATGCCGGATGTGTGAGAGTGCACGGAGCATTTCTGCTGCTCCGACGGTCTGCATGCAGATGTATCTCCCCAGAAAGCCCGACCCAGAGCAGCTACCTTACTGACACTCTCACACACACACACACACACACACACACTCTCACTGTCTCATCCCTGGATGTAAGAGCAATTCTGGCTCTATCCCTCAGCTTTACAGCACCCCCCCCCCACCTCTTTTTCACTCTCTCTGTTTCTCTCCTCCTTGTGTACTCCCTGTTCAGCGGACCAAAAAAAGCATCACACATGGCAGCTTTTATTTAAATGGGAGGTCTAAATCTGCCCGAGCAGTAATGTCTAAATCATTACATCATAGATGGGTGCGTTTCACAAACAGAAACGTTTCGGCCAAACTGAATTCTGTACATCATCTTTTCTTTCTTTTTTTTTTTTTAAATTAATCTTTACTCTTTTCATGCACGTGCCACAATAACCATGTTGGTCATTCACATTCTGAGCATTTATGGTACCATGGAAGCTTAAAGCACATGTAGAATCTTTCCAAAATCAGTTGATTCTAAACAAAGAGAAAGAAAACTTAGAATTTGGTCATACTAAACACTGTTATGTTTCTGTATCCCATGCTAAGTTACTAACTCTCATTCAAGCATCTATTTTCTGTGTTCACCTCCTCTAAATCCCTGAGAGGGCTCAAATTAAACCAGCGTGGTAGTTTTAGTAGGGTTACATCAGCAGCAGCACTGTATTCTGCCCAGAGCTCTTCCTTGTTAAACACCGGGGCAGAGGTACAGGACAGAAGCAGGAGAGAGGGCAGGGAGAAAAGCACACCGAGCGCGCAGGAGTGAGAAGAGGAAGCAGAGTGTACGTTGTGTTCCACTCTGTTGCCTAGCGACACTTGCTCACTGTCTGTTCCCATCTTTCCAGTAGATGCATAAGTTGCAGTGAGTTGGTTTTCAGGCCTGACATCAGGTCCTGCGAGACAGGACTTGTGAAAAGAAACAAAGTAATAACTCTTTTAGATATGCAAAGAGCTGAAAGCTAAGTGTCATTTAACTGCACAAACACACCCCTGCCACTGGATCACGTCACAGCCGTCTCCTAAACTTTTACTTCTGCTTCTCTGTGCATGTCGGTTAAATGTCTGGGACAGTCTTTTTAATGGATGCTGACAAACGGTTTATCTTTCACTGCTATTTGGCATCAAACGGTAAAAACCTCTGCTGAAACTATGTGTGGGCACAGCTGAAAATAGATTCAAGTGTTTTTCTTAAATAAAGTAAACAAAGCAACTGACGACTGATCCCCACAGCAAGTATTTAGAGATGATAGATGTACTTTAAATTATCTGTATGAGTTATGTCTATTAAATGTCTCTAAAATGGGAACTTGATATTCTATATTGCACACATTTTATAGCAGAGGACCTACTGAGCAATGTTTAATGATTGCATGGTTATTACTTATAGCAAATAAGCAATGAATGTAGCTGACTGTTGCTCCGTTTTGTCCAGTTGACAAGCATTGTATAAGCACAACATAACACTCTGAATATCACACACTCTAACCTGTGTGTGACGTTTCATTCAGTGTCAAGGATGAACCACTTATGTTTTAAAACCATTAAAAAATTAACCACTATTATGTAATCAGTCAATCAGAGAGAAATTAACACTAAAGAAACAGAGCTCTGAAATGTTTATATATGATAGCATTCTTTCCAGACTGTTGCCTGATTTTGATACATAACTAAGGGTTTCAAATTAGATTTCTTTGCAACCCTATTAAATTACACATTTAACTTTGATTAGCACGTGGTGCATCCCATCTATCCTGGACAGAAATTTAGAGCGATGTCCCCAGAGTGACTATGGTCTTTGCTGAGGCTCCACGGGGGGGGGGGGGGGGGCAGAGCAGAGTTACCTTGCCCTTGGTGTGCAGGTGGTGATGGTGTACGTTTCTGGCAGCAATCAAAGCCAGCTGCCTTTGGATCCACTGTAACTCCATCTGAGACTGCCTCAGCAGATCCTCCACACTGGTGTTGGGTGTTTGATCCTTCATCGTTCACTGTGAAACAATCCAGAGATTCTGTTAGGAGAGTCTAACATTTAAAGTGCCCACCGCCTTACAGAGGAAGATGCATAAATGCCCAACCTGGCAAGCTGAATGAACACAAATACATTATGTGATGGGATGTCACAAAAAAAGCCAGTTTTATCGTGTCTTTGCTTTCTCAGTCCATCAAAGCGACAGATTATCATTACTTTATCATATGGTGAAATTAGAATCACTAATTAACCCAGCAGGCATGTTTTGAATGGTGGAGAATAAGTAAATAAATCTGATTTTGTTTTCAATCTGCCAGAGACTGAAAACTAAATCACTTATACAATTTAACCCTTTAAAGCCTGATTTAAAAAGGAGATAAATCTTTATTTGGCCCTTTACTAAAATATGAAAAATATTTTTTTTATCATGCAATAAGTCAAACTTATTGTTGTGTAGTCTGCTGCACACTGTTATCGGGTACATCTGATTGTGTACAACAGGGTTTTGAGAAAAGATTTTACCTTTAAATAAAGCAAATGGTCTCAGTTTCAGAATAAAAATGTATCAATTATGATACATATGGTGTTAAAGGGTTAACATTATTGCTGTGAGCTTTAGTTAGTCGAAATGTACTTGATGGTATTAGACCAGTGTAATATGTGCATGCGTGTGAAAGTGTTCACTGAGAAAAAGAGAGCTCCACTCAGTTATGTAAGAGAGGATTACTTTATCACCACAACACATGACAGGGGAAGCGCTGAAAAAAGTATCGGCTGTTTCGACCAGACTGTAAGTCTCCATTTATCTTGACCTGATTTGTACCTTCGTGCAACCACACACTCACTTGTGCACAAGAGCAAAGTAAGTACGACCAGACAACATAACACTGCCACAGATAGAGTTCAAAAGGATAATGGAGTGTGTGCCTCAGCAGATTTAACTGTATTATAAAGAATACAGTATTTTCTTGTTTTCTTTTTTTTTTTGTATTAATGGATATCTTTTTATGTGGACAGTGATTCATTTCATGGCAAACGTTTCTCTTGTTTTGTTTTTTACCTGGTCTCACTTGGCGCCTTATAGGGCTGCAGCCAAATGCTCAAACAGATTCTCTGCGCTGACTCACCTTGGACAGCTTCTATTTCATTGCAGGGGATTGTGGAGGAGGAGGGCAGACACAACAATAAGAGGACACAAAGCTCCTTGGGATTTCTGCATAAATCATATCAACATGCTGAAGCATTTCTATCACAGATTCATTAGATTGAAAGACACTGTACAGTGTAATGTACAGTGTTCATGACACTGTACAGATCTATTAATGTTCATTTGTCATTTCTCCAGCAATGACAGAGGTCAAATTTTTGTTAACGTTTTATTTTTAGAGCAACCCTAAGACGTTAGTCGATTGATCCAGGTGTTTCAAGCTCATCTTGATCGCTGTTGCAAAATTTAAACCTGACTCTGATCCAAAATGAAAGAGATCATTGATACTGATAGATGCATAGATTTTAGCAAAAGTTCACTGAGACAATCGATGTTACATTATAATCATGAATGTTCTCTAGAAGCAGTTCCTCTAATGTGTCCCTGGTGCTGGAGATTCAGCAGCTGGGAAAAAGTACACTGTGCTTTGTAATTTGACATAATGACAAACATTTGGCACTGTACATACGCCTGTCCCGAATTACACGTAACTTAAGAAGATCTAAAACTTTTCTTACCCATTTAAATAGAGATCTTCATTTCCATAGACTGTCACTTCTCCTTCTTTCCTTTATCATGTTGGCCCTTGTCCTTGACCCGAAAGGCAAACAAAAACTAAAGAAATTCAGAATCACAAGCTTAGAAACAGCAGTAGCCTCAGTGACCTCGAATAAACCATTTTACTAGTAGGAGGTTTGTTATATGCAAAAACCTTTTTGAAGAGCGTTTTGTGAATTGACGTGCTCTTTTGTAAAAGAAGTCAGCTATGATTCAGGCTTTTCTCTTCGTGTTCTTGTACGCAGGCTGCCCGCAGTGTTACCATATGGTGCATTTAACAAGAGGACGATGGAAAAAAACCCAAACAAAATAAAAACAACTTGAGGTCCTCCTTTGTCTTTTAAAAAAAAAAGAAAAGAAAAGAGCTTCATCATAGCTTTTTCAGTACTTTATATAACTCTACTGCGGCAGCATGTAACTACATTATCCTATCTTATCTAACATAATTTAAAACTATATCTATGTAGTTTGATGTCAATTTTCCTCTCAAACATGACATGACTCATTAAAAATACCAACTATACCTTCCCAAATCAACAAGTTACACTATTCACACAAATAAGAAGAAGACCTTTATCTATATAGATGCAAGAAAACTGTCATGACTGCTCCCTCGGTGGGTATATTTCAATTCAGAAACCATCTTCTTTTCAAGCAAAGTGTGTCACTTGTTTGTAAAAGTTGCTTCACTTTTTAGAGCATGTACCTGCACAGATGTGAAAGAAAATCGTTCTTCAAATAAGGAACTTCAATACCACTTAAACTGAGTTTCTGTGAAATCCTCCTGCCAATTTTTTACACAGCGAGCTTCATAAATTGCAGCGTCATCAGATGAGCAGCGTTCCCCCATCGGCTCTCGATCGAACGCACAACGGAACGCACGCTCTATAAGGCCCCATGGTGACCAGGTAAATGGATTAAATCAATAAAAATTGATCATTTTTAAATTTCAATCTAAATTCAAATGACTACTAACAGAGTGACTTAAATAAAAATATGATCCTAAACATTTTTATTGATGCACATTTTTCATATACCAAAGACCTGTCAACAGGCGAAATCTGTTTTTAAAAAAACAACGCAATGTTAAGACAATGTGGAAAAAAAAGAGTATTTTCTTATCATTTCTCAAATAGCAGGTGCTGATCTAAAAATGCACTGATAAAAGTATGCAGCATGGAAAGAGACAAACATGCTAAAGGTATTCATCCTGAACAATCAACCGCTGAGTAAACAATGATACCACACAATAATAACTTCTATTTATTCAGCCTCAAAACAAACAGAAGTGCTGCCCTAGCACCCCCTCTCCTCCTTTAAGTAGCTGCGTTGCCATTTCAAACTCCAGCGGGATGTTCTTGGTCGGAGGCTGCTTCAGGTCTCTCTCCATCAGCTGTGAGCAGAGAAACAGAGCATATCATGTGTGACTGGATGCTATCAAAAATTAAGCTAAGCTCGCATGAGAACACCAGTTTTTTCTGTCCAGAGGTATTTGCAGTTTGGTTAACACGAGCATGTACACAGCAGGAGATTTCTGCCAGAGATGCACTCTTTGGACTGGAAATGCAGGGGGGGAATGAAACATCTGCCTAAAGAAAGCAGGAGGCGCCATATTATTAGGAAATTACTGTTGCGAAAGCAAAATGCTTTCCAAAACACACGCTGACAAGAGCAGCTGAGGCCAGTAGTTGTGTTGATATGGGACCTACATGTACCTATATGTACCCAAAACAGTCTGTGTGTGAGGGGGGGGGGGGACGGGTCAGAAGAAAAGACACGTCATGAACTTGTACCGCAGCAGAAAACGCTACAGTATATTTGCTGACACCATCCTTTTACTTTGTTTCACAATCTAATTTAACAAGAAAAGTCGACAGTTTCTCCCGATAATCTCCAAAGTTTTCACCACTCAAACAGCATTGGCCAAACGTCTGTTTACATCCACCCACAGACAACACTGTGTAATTACATCAACTTCTAAAACATCGAACTACACAGAAGGGAGTCAAGAAACAGGGGGACAAAAAGACTAAGTCTCTTCACCTCGTATGTTGTTGTCTCCAGCACCTCGCTGATGTCGTCCTCTTGCGCTGTCAGAGGCGTGTTGATCAGCATAGCAGCTTTGGCCACATCTGGGTGGTAATGCTTCTGCAGTGTCTGGAGAGCAGTACACCAGAAAAATATGTTTATTTTTCCCCATTTCATCCTTTAAACCCCCTAAAAAAAACATGCTAAAATGCTGACAGAGCACTCATTTGTGCGTCTGAAGCCGTTTCACAAACGCACACCTTAATCTCCCACAAGCTGCTCTCTAAGGCACGGCACTGAGCAGGATCCTCTTCATCCATGACATAAGGATCCTCACTAGGCTCCGTCTCTACGGAAACAAAACCGTCCAAATGTAAATGCTTTGCACGCTACAGAGAAATTTAACCTGGGACACTTCATGAGGGGTCATTACGACAACCCCAGTCACGAGCGGACGGATGACTTTCTCCTACCGTCTTCTGTGCTGGGCTTGTGGAGCAGGACTCTGCAGGAGGGGTGTCGCCGGATCAGGTTATAGATGAAGGGCAGAACTATCAGGAGGGCTGTCGGTGGAGCTGTGAGCGCCAGACGGGCCAGACGTTTGGCGAAGGCTGCCACCAGGTACACTGGCAGGTGACTGTGGAGAATCACACACAAAACACACACTGCTGTGGACACGTCTAGATATAACATATGATATAAATGTGTGTGTATATATATATGTAGATATGTGCAAATCAAATAATCTTACCTAGAGCTAAGGAAGAGATTAGCCAGATGGAAAAAGCGTGCCCTGTACTTGACATGGAAAACAGACGGCTCCAGTATGTTGTACAGCTTCTTATAGAAGTCGGGATAATCTCTGCAAACACACACAACAGGCAACATCGCGGCCAGTTAAAATTTATTTTTTGTACGGATTACGAACGGTCTCTGGGCTTAAATCTGGACCTGAAATGTGATATTCAGTATACTCACAGGTTGTGTTGATGTATGAGGACAAACAGGCCGTTGAGGGCCAGCAGGCTGATGGCGCCGCCTGTTCAGCAGAAAGGCAGAGTGATGGTTACCTCACAGAAGAATGTAGAGCTGGCTGAAAGCCAATTATCCCAACTTTTAAATTCTGAAAAAGCCCCTTACAGACACTTCCCATCTGCAAATGAAATAAAAGCGGGGCCTCCCTTTGAAGTGTATTGCTCGACTAGTTCATTAGCATTCTGGTGAACCACTGAATCCCCATCACATCCCTGCACCGGTGCTTTTACATCCTTTTAACTACCAGAACACCACCAGATGTAATGTCGTAACCATCAGAAGCTAAAAGAGAGAGTCATTTCGGTTTCCCACTTAGGAAAAACAAAATAAGAGGGACATTTTTAGGAACACAGAAAACCATTTGGGGTGTTCTATTTTTTTTTAATGAACCTTTATATTAAACAAAGCTTAAATGACAACACAAAAAACTTAGTAGGTATTTTAACGCACTTGAGAACCAGAGTTCTGTTGGCCCTCTGTAGACACAAAATTCCCCAAAGGTATACATACCTTTAAAGGCTTTTTTATCTAGTTTCTTTCACACCATTTGAAGAAACATTGTTGTTTATATAGGTGATATAACAACATTCTACATTTTTTTATTTGTATTTTTGGATGTGGTCACTTTTCCATGGTAAACCAAACACCACATGCTCATATCTTTCCACCAGTTACCCTGGAGTTACATCAGAGATTGCGTTCCTTATGTTAGGACAGCTAGATAAAATCATCCATACACAGCAGCACTAAGCACATCGGCATCCGGACGACAAGACGACACATTCCTGTCACAAGGCTCTGGCTTTTCACCTGAGTTCAGAGGGGCCTTCATGACTTACCCACTTCATAGGCAGCCGTCAGGAAGTCGATCATCATTGTGGGTTTGCTCATGTGTGGCAAAATGGAGTCATGGAGGATCACCAAGATTTTTTTGTACATGCTGTTTGGCAACTATGACGGAAAAAAAATAAATACACAATGCTAATAAAGTGGGAGCAGATACAACAAAGTGTTGGTCAGGAATAAAACATTCACCTTATACTTTAGAAAGCCAAGCCACATCCGCTCGAAGGCACGTTTATGGTCCTGCAGCAAAAGAGAGCAATTTACCACCAATTCAAGACCTGCTCATCTCACACAACAATGTGACACTAACATTTGAAATATTCTACTTGCATTTAGTTTTGCAGCTTTCCAGTCCTCGTGGTTGGCTAAAACACAACAGCAAAAAAATACAGGTTAAAATTTGACTCGCAGCAAATAGTTTTTTCACTTTGCGAATGAGGCATAATTATGTCAAGTAAACCTACACTTTGGATTTGTCATGTTTAAAAATTATTTTAAAAAGGTCTCACCTCCCTGTTTTACCATAAAGTTGGTTAGCTCTGATTCTTGGCTCGGTACGCTGATGTTGGACATGAGAGTGAACACATTGTTCTGATACACAGGTAACACAGCCTGAGGGGGACAGGCAGGCGCCAATAAACACACCAAATAATGCAATAGAACAAAGAACAAAAATACATCCCTCTTAAGATCAGAGCAGGTAAGTTGTGCCTTCTTACCCCTTTGCTTTTGCCCATAACTTTGCCCACGTTCTCACGAATGGAGCTCATTACATAGTAACGCAAATCCTCCATCTCGAGAAACACCTGGAACCTGGAGATCAGCAGGGAGTTGTCTGTGGTGTTTGACAAAAGGTTGTCCACAACTGCCTGAAAGTAAAAAAAATAATAAAAAACAACTAGCTTATTGCATACATTTATGGAATATCTGGAAGGTCCCACCAGAGCTTATCGGAATTTTTAATATCCATAGTTCTCAATAGAGATATTTTATACCTGGATCAGTTTCCTTGGGAAGCTGTAATGTTCACTCCAGTCTAAGTCCTCCAGAGGATGCTGCCCTTCTCCTGCTGCAAATCTCATCAAGCAGCAGAGGGCACTCTCCTGGATTCAGACATGAAACCCTTATAAGTCCACTGAAAGGTTCAGTGTCATTTTCCATCTTCCTGCTCTGGAGTACAAATAAAAGTAAAACCGCTAAACAAAATTAAACTGGCAACAAAGATGATTGTTCTTGGTTTAAGGAATGGTACTAGCCAGGTTTCTGGCATGAGGCACAGAGCATAGGACAACATGCAGGTCACTAAAGGAGAGGGAAAGGGTGAGCGGTCATCCAGGCATTTCAGTGAGAGCAATTCCCTTTCCCTTTGTCAGTTGACACAGTCAGTTTACCAGCAATTAGATGAAGGTTTACCGCATAGTGAAAGGGGTAAAAAGCCTAAACTGGACCCTGTGTGAGCTCACCCTGACCGCGTGCAGCTCGTGGCTGAGGTGGTCCAGCAGGGTTTCCACACAGCTGTTGTACCGGTGCAGCATGAAGATCCGGAACTTCTCCTCTGCGCTGTAGCCTCCTGCAAAGAGAAGCACCTTTTAAACATGTTCAAAGGCTCAGTCCCATCCAAACGCTGCAGAATGCTCTCTGAGTCTGAGTCTCTATGCCGGGTATTAACTCACCGCTCAACGCCTCCTCCTCACCGGGGAGCTTTCCAACGAACAGCTCTTTTCTCTCCAGCAAAGCGCAAAACACTTTACTGCACGCGTCCACAGCACAAACGACATCCTTCTCGCTGTCTGACTGTAAGAAAAACATTTAAAACGCAAACACGCGTAGACATGCTAGCGTTAGCCAAGTCCCGTGTATTCGGTTTGTGGTGTCTATATTTGTTTTCATACCTGGAGAATCTCAAGAATGTCAAAAATGTCGTTGGCGTGTTTCCTGCTTTCAAGTACGCGTTCAGCGATAGTGTCCACGTCAATTTTCGCCGCTTTGACACTTAATCCACATGATTTATCCGAACTCACGTTTCGCCTTTTGGCCGGCGCCATGTTTACTGAGCTGGTGCTGCGTTCGCGTCGCATCAAGAATAGGAAAAAACGAGTCACACGCAACAACGTAGCTGCATATTGTACTGTTTATCTTTTATTGCGTAAAACTTTTTTCCCTTTATGTGTGCCAAGAAAAAAAGTTTATACACATGATAATACCACAATAGCATATACATACCACTAACAAATATTTCTTTTCACGTGTGTCAAGGGTAGGTCGTCAAAATGTTTAAATCCTGAAGATTTGAATGTTGCATTTGCCTCTGATATTTGTGACTAGTAAAGTTACCTAGGAATAATTTCATTATCTTGGAAGGAGCTTGTATAATGTTTCTGGCTTTAAATCCTTCAGCTACTGACTTCATTGTAAGGAGATCAACTAAATAATGTAATAATTACTCATTAAACCATAATATAATATGTAGATTATAATTATTACATAAGAAATATCACAAGACCAAGAAATACATGTTTATTTCAGTTTAAAATAACATTCTGAAAACAAGCGGGTTGCAATAAAGAACCAAGAGGCTTTATTATATTTCTTTGATAACAACTTGAAATGAAAATGTTTTATTCAATAGCACAAAAAAACTGTATGAAAATTCTCAAAGGAGGAAATGTTTTGATGAAAAAATGTTTTTTTTTCCTGCAGGGCGCATTGGTTAGTCAGAATTGTTTCCTTCATCTGCATTTTTCTGAGAAAAGAAGAAGAACCAAACAATTAGAATGCATGACGACTGATTGTTAACGTAGAATTTTGAAGCATCAAATAAATCTTTATTTCTAGATACCTGTTTTTTATCCTTATTGTCTCGCGTGTCGGAAGCTGTGCCTTCAAAGTCATGAATTGGAAGAGTGGACATCCAGCTGACCATGGAGCCCTCCTGACACTCAGTCTCAACAATGGTGGGGTAGATGTGAGCTTCCTTGAAGGCCTTAATTGCCTCCTCCTCATGATCCCATTCTAGCCGCTCATGCAGGCCATCTCCTCCAAATCGTTTGTTGTACCGGTCAAAATGCACCCTTTCCAGGATGAGGCCAAGTCCAGGAGCTTTGGGGACGTCCACCTTCTCAAGTCCCCAGGTCCGCTCAATAACCTGCTCTTTAGCATAGCCCTTAATAACTGCAATCACCAGCCCAATCATTTTGCGAATTTGGTGCAACATGAAGCTCTGACCTCTGACCGTGATCACTGCAAACTCGTGCTCATCGCGGATAAAAGGCTCTCCACAAGACATCTCTGTAATGTAGCGGCGAGCACTGGGGTCATTCGGCGCCTTCTGGGAGGTAAAGTTGTGGAAGTTATGAGTGCCTTTGTAGAAGGAAAAAAGCCTGTTCACCCGCTGAAGTGTTTCTGGATCCAGCCGAAAGGCTGCTATGTTCCGAGCATCATACTCTTTTTCGGAAAAGGCCACAGTTGGAAGCATGTAGGAGTATGTGCGAGCGTCACAGTTGTTTTTGGAATTGAAACCCTGGGTAACTCGCTTAAATCCTATGGGTATAAAAAAAAATAATAGACAGGTTTCTTTTAAAATTATTATTCATTGTGAAAATATCCTTATCTGATATTTTTCAACTGTTTCTCACCAAGCACTCTGATCTGTGATGGCAAATGCTGGTTAATTTTTTCAATGATGTCCTCAATCAACCATAACTTTAGAGATACCACCTGGCCTGCAGCAGACACACCCTGAAGACAACATATTAGTCAATGGCATACCAGGAAATATGAGAAACATATACATGTAAGCCCAAAAACCTCCCAAATATGCAGAGATAATTATTATGTTTAACCTTTCATTTTAAGTACTGACATGGCAATGCAAATCCATAAGAATAGAAAACCTAAATTACTGAGCTATGATAGTGTAAGTAATTTATTTTCTCTAACATAGTGCTATGCAAAAAACATCAACCTTATCTGTTCTTGCGCATCTTTGGAAGGACATCTTCTTCATGTCGTCACCATGGTTTTCAGGAATGCATCCGGATTTAATCAGAGCAGTGACCAGATCGTCTTCAATTGTCCTGAACTGGGAGTTTCCAGGATTTCTCTGAAAAATGGAAAATATTACTTTCCATGCTGGTACATTTAGAAAACTAGAGTGCTTAAGAAAATGAAAACATAACCATCAGCTATACCTGCATCCCATAATATCCTTTGCCAGAGTATGCCAGAAGAAGAACCACTTTCTTCTTTGGAAATTTCTTGTCATCTTCGATGTGTTCCCCATCTGCCTTCACTCTTTTAGTGGCTATCTCTGCAGAATCCTCGTTCTCCTCATTTGCCCTTTTTAACAGATTAGATGTCTGCTGATCTGTGGATCCTTGACTCATTGTGCGCAGCAACTTGATAAATCCACCTGTGAAGCTAACACAAATCACTTCAGTGCCTTCAACTCTCTAAGCAGCATGGTTAAAGTTTTAAGGATTCAGCTTTTGCATGGGAAGTTAAATAGAAACATGCTACCAACACCCGAAAACAGACTGGAAAAACTGGCAAAACAGCATAAGAACTTGCTCACCGTTTTCCTGCAGCGTCAGTCTACGGTTAAGTAAGGCACTTAATAGTGGTCGAACTTCAAACATGTCACGCTAAACAATAACGAGAGGACAGAGTAATATGCAGCTATGAGATGTACACAGTCCCATGAGCTGAGTAAATAAGTTAGCACGAATTAGCATGTGCTATAGCGAAAACAAATAACTTGGAAGTGTCCTCACGCAAAACATAACCGAAAGCGATTTTTCAAACGGTAAACATCAACACAATTAGTCAAACTAGTGCTGAATTGCATGAAAATGTCGTTTAGCGGAAGCGGTATGCAGTCACACATGGCACTGTCAACTTCGACCTCTAGCAGTAATCTCGCGAGAATTTCCTACATCCTGAGACAGACCCCAATAACCCCAAACAATTAATTTTATTAAGTCGCTGAAATGGTTTTACTCCCCATTCTTTTCACGAGGAGCATCATAATTGATTTAAGGAAATTATACAAAACTCTGATGAGAGCGAATGTACAAATTTTTGTATAGTATGAAATGCCCAATTTGTTTAGGGGGTTGGAATGTTTATTTGAATACCTGATGCATCCTTATTTGGCTTGTTGATCATCTCAAAAAGTATGGCGTTTTTATTATTACTATTAGCTGCTGCCTGGACTGAATGTATGTACATGAAATATTTTTAACAAGCTGTAATAGAGTTTCTAACTGTAAAGTGATTAACCTAAAATAGCATTTTAAGATGGGTTTATGGACTGATCATTACCACTTTATCACATGCCTCTCTGTGCTGGTAAAACTCAGGATATAAGTGGATATGTGTTTAGACGGTAGCAATAGAATTGAGTGAAACTAAGAAGTGGTACAAAAAAAAGAAGCCTGCAGGTAATTCGAATGAAGCATTCTGCAATAATTAATTTGTCCACTTGAGTGCAGCAAATTCCAATTAACGGAAAAAGACAGTATAAATGAGAATGAAAGATTTGTTGTTGGGGATCTTTTATATATAGATTTTATTTAAATTAAAGTCAAGAAATGTTGTGAGACTGGACAATAATCTTTTATGTTATTCATCTGTTGCCTTTAAGAGCAAGGGTGAGAGCCAAACAAATGTTTTTGCCTCTATGGACAATAAAAACTGCTGTTTAGGGTAAACAACAAGTTTGTGAACGTTCTTACTACTGCCCACTTCTGACTACTGTACAATTAAGCCACTATTCTTTATGAATGTTTACTTTTTTGCATACAGTGCCGAGGGCCTTGTGTATGACAATATTGTGAAAGTAAATTACATTATAATTATACTGACTGTCTTTAGGTGTTTATGGAAAGATATTATTCGTTTAGATCTAGAGTAGCAACCCATACTGTGCTGTGACTTGTGGAACTGTCGCACAAAAAACTAAGGCACTTCCAGGAAAGAGAAGTGTTTATGTCCTTTTCAAGGACATCCCAAGAAGGACAGATACTTGTTGCCAAAAGGTCATGTTGTTAACTGTCTAATTCTGGGATGTCCTTAGATAATTTAACTTTTTCTTCGCACCTTATAAGGTGATCAAGTGGTTTTCTGCTAAAATGCCAAACATAGACATGCTATGGGAAAAGAGTTTTGCTTGACAAAATCACTTATAGCATAACTCATGCCCATTTTGCAGCAAATGTTTGCCTCACTAAATGATGGAGATTCCCCATATGAAGCAGGGAGTCTTCAGCTTTCGTGGGGCATCATCACTGTATAAATATACAAAAACTGTCGCCTTTTTGCCAAATTATCACTTCTTGAAAAACATGACAAATTTCCAAACAAGCTTTTAGGTCAGCAACTACAAAGTAGTCAATATTTTCCTTTTCAAATGTCCTCTCATGCCATTGAATGTGTCATATAGATTGGAAGAATGTTCCACCAAATGTATTTTTCCAATATCATATAACACATTGCACGCGCCTTGCATTAGGCAAAACGATCAAAACGTTTTGATCTTATTTGTATGTTTAATGCATCAGCATTAAACATACAAATAAGCATCTGAATCAGATCCTGCAAAACAGGATAGGCAAAGTAGAGCAAACTGTTATCTTTTTTAGCACAGTGGGGTATACAACGTCTTTGTTGAATTATTTTCTATTCTAATCAGACACAAATGTAAAAGCTACATTTCAGAGAGGATTACATCTGGTTTCCCCTGCCCAATGATCATTAATCTAATGAGGCTGTGACTTGTTAATAAAGCTTTCTGCAAAAATGATTTTATATGACAAAAGCGATTACCTCCTTTTCCCTCAATTCATTGTTGAATATGAATTCAGTACAGATTGAAACAAACAATTGAGGTCAGCATGGACCCTTTTTCACATGTTTTGCATGTTGCTTTTTTTACCACTTAGAGTCAACATTATGCCATCAACATTAAGCCTCTAGAAACAGCCTATCATTTCATGAAACTGCATTTCAAATGATCGTAGACATCTTTGCTATGAAAGAGAAATCATAAAATATGACCACCACCAAACTATGACCACCACTAAATTCTAAAAAACTGACTAAAACTCATCAAAAGGCTCCATGCAATTGTAAAAGTTGAACAGTTTGTTTTTATATGAAAATTCTGAATCAAATATTCTGTAATTTGTGTTTTTTCCTCAGAAATTATTAATAGTTGGCACTTTTTGATTAATTTTAGGAGCTTTTAAAGAAGCTAAAGGGAAATTCAACAGGTCAACAAACAGTGCTGTACAAGTAACAAGCACAAAAAATTGAGTGGTTGTCATTTGATTGAAAATGTGTTGTTTGTGGAATGGTTTCAGCTGATCGTAAGGCAACAGTAACCTTATGAACCATTTGTTTAAACCAAGTTATGCGGGGGAGCCTCTCTCAGTGCACAAGTTGCAAATGGTCAACAGTGGCAGAGGTTGGCTCAGATTAAAAGAGCTTGAGGAGCATCATTTTACTAACACATACTTCTTTAATGGTTACCTCAAGTATAGAACATCCTATCACCATACTCATATAATTTTACATTGATCTTGCTGGCAATGTTAAAGGCAAGTGAAATATTGCTTGCCTTGTTTGTTTGGTCCCTATGAATCCTATCCTGGCTCAAAATGAAAGAACAGTTTGGAAAAACAAGGCAGATATTAAACTAAATGATATGCATACCTTGAAGAATTATCCTAATGTGCACTTCTGCTCCTCTTCTTATGGTACGAAGAAGAAGAAACAGTTCCAATCATCTTAACTATTTACTTTTAACATGTGATCCCACATGTAATTCATTGAGACTCTTTCATTACCTAATTATTTCTTCGAAATCTGTTGATACGTCATTCGGTGCTATCCTTAGATCCAAACCATTGGTTTTAAAATGGGATTTCATTTAAAAAGCATCATGGGATGTTAATCTCCTCTTGCTGACAAGTAGCAAAGCTCAGAAATCTCTTGGAGCTTGGCACAAAAAAAGCCTGTGCCGCTGTGATCTTCGTCTCTTGAGGTGAAGTCTGACTGTCAGAAATTAGCTCTACAAACCACAGTATTAAGCAAGCTGTCAAGTCAGATCTAAACAGCATAACTCCCCATTATGCTGCTTTCCACTTGTTCCTGTTTAGTAAGTTACAAAACCCCCAAACTAACAAATGAGAGACGCATAAAAACTGACTTTGTAACACATTCCTTTTAATCAACACTCATTGAACAGCTTTAATTGATGGCAGATTTGACCACTTTAGGCCACTGTAGGAGTCTTTAGGCCGAACTTCCACCATGGTTCAAACTATTGAGTCATTAAAATGTTGTGCAGAGGTATAAGGCCAAGATGTTGAGGAGAGTTTTAAAAATATATTTTAATGAGCAGCCAGTAATGAAGCAGGGAGACAACAAAATCATACAAGGCAGTGATCCCCAAGGATCAGAGCTAAGGGACACTGCTTTAGGGTATAGGTATTTATGGACTCAAGTTGAAAATCCTTGTTCGTGTGTGTTTGCTCATTTTTGTGATAAGAAATGAACACTTTTTCAAATTTCATTGTTACTGATGAGGTGGATTGGTTAAAGCTACATTAACAGACTGAGTTTGTGTCTGTCTGGAGCTCATTCACTGCACTTCACTTTTTTTTCTGTCAGGTTGTTGTGTGATTGATTTTTTTTTTTTATCAGTCAAACCCGGCAGCACAGGTTTTTGTCTTCCCTTATCAGGAAGAGACTTGCTGTTACACACTAATTTATCTCAGTGCCTGAAAAGTCTCCCAGATAACACATTAGTCATCACCCATGTGGATTTTAATTTAAAAAATGTAAAATATTCGTCAGCTCAAGATAATTGTGTTTGAAAGAAAAATCATACATCTTCAATGACAGAATAAATATTTCTGATACCACGATAAGAAGTGAGCAAATTCTTAGATCTTCTGTCTTATAGCAATGTCTCTGATAGTCTAGTGGAAGCTGGATTTTTTCCTCAGACAGCTCCAGTAGCTCTCATGATCCTGTTTTGGCTGTCTATGGTCTTGGGTGCTCCTAAATCTAGCTTGGCTTGGGCATGCTGTGTATCCTACTCCCTGGATTGCAGCTCTCCTGCTGCTGCCTCCAGTCTCAACAGACTTATCACCTCCTAAGAACCATGCTCCTGACGTTGTAATCAGGCCCCTTCATGACTCTCTGTTGAGTAATGTATCCTCTTGTGTTAATGTCTGTCCTCTTTTGTTTTCTAGGGCTTTTCTGAGAAGTGGTCCACTCCCCCGTGTTTCAGACCAGTCTACTTTGATAATGTCAACTCCTGCCTAAGACTATTTACCGTCTTTTCTGGAGAGTCTGACCTTATGACTGCCTGTTTCCAGGAATTTACCTTTTTCGATTTGGAGACAGTTTTAATTTGTCTCCAATTTTAACATGGGATGTTTTTTAATTCTTGTAAATACCATAGCTTCAATACAAATCTAATTTAATTCAAATTCAAACCACACATAAAATCAGCCATTTAGCTTATTGGCAAAATTCTGAGATGCAATTTAATCATTTGTACCACTAAAATGTGGGTAAGGTAGCTAAACTGTAATTATATTTTCTATCAACTACTGTGTGGACTACTATTGTTTTATCACCGTTTTATCATCGTTGCATGAAATCGATCAAATACAATTAGTCATTTGACATTAGTGACCACATCCATTGATTTAGTGTCTAGGCAATATCAAAACGTGAACTGTCAGTAGAGTTATGGCATCCAAAAGACGCCAACACACGGCCGTCCTGTAGGGAGGGAGAGAGAAAGAGGACTTCCGGTGCCTCCGACCAATGAGCAGATTCCACATGCGGACACTGAACACCGCATTCGACGAAGAGACGCGATTGGTGCCGATCGCAACGCTGCTTATTCCGCAACGCACTGAGAGAGCGGGCGAAAAGAGGCGAGCTGCAACTTAACCACATGTTTAAATAATCCATTTGGACAAACTAATCTGTGATTCGCTGTTTTACGGAAGGGAACGACGGAAACAACACCTGAGTGAGACTGCGGGGGTCGATATGAATTTCTGACCGAGGGGTTGAACGAGAAAGCCAGTGGAGTGAAGCCGGCGAATTCACGCCAAGCCAAAGGGGCAAAGGAACGGTTAGCTAGCTTTAGCCCGCTAGCTACTGATTAGCACAGGACTCGCTAATTCATCCACTCTCGCCGTACACCTGCGTCCCGCGGTGTCCAGTGTACAACTACTTGTCCGCTAACAGTCGTCACTGTGGGCTTTCGCTGTCGAATTTTTTCAGCATTTTTGTTTTTAGTCAAGAGGTGACAACCACAGGAGGAGAGGACCGTGACTAGTTGCGGTTGGGACCAGCGAATCAAGCGGTGTCCTCAAGTGGCCGTTCACCATGGACAACGCACACACAAAGACGGTTGAAGAAGTTCTCGGCTTCCTCAACGTGAACGAAAGCACCGGTCTGAGTTTAGACGAAGTGAAGAAACAACGGGAACGATTCGGGCCAAATGGTAAGGAGCTGGTGTGGAATGATAAGTTCATAAACAAGCCGTGTTCCCGGCGTCATGTATGGCCCATAGCTCGTGTTCCTGTAACGGAGAGCTCATTACGTCACATCGTGGATGTTGAAATACTCGAAGCATCATTTATGGGACTGGCTTAGTAACGCACTTTATAACGTTAATATAAATGCCTAACTATTACAGGAACAACCGATGGTGCACTCATTACTGATTTTTTTAAAACTAACTATCTTTCTAACTCTTGTATTTTTTTCTTTTTTTTCCCTGATGCGGCCTGAATGGGATGATCTGCAGAACTACCAGCTGAGGAGGGTGAGCTGACCACTGGACTAACTAAGTCAGTCATAGACTTGTTCCCAATTCTTAGTGAAAGTGGAAAGTCATTTTCTTCTACTTTATCGCCCTCTAGGTAAATCCCTTTGGGAGCTGGTGATTGAACAGTTTGAAGATTTACTCGTTCGGATCCTTTTACTTGCTGCCTGCATATCCTTTGTAAGTATAGCACACATGTTTTATAAGCTGTGCAAGCACGTTGTTTAGTGTCCACTCGCCCCATGAGGACCAGCCCGTGTAAACACAAGCTGTCTTCACATGTGAAATAAAGATAAATAATGTCCACCATTATCCTTTTACAGTTGTTGTTGATAACAGAAGGTGAGGTGGATTTTTGCTGCTAAAAATATTGTTGAATGCCTCCAGGATGGAGCATAGTAAGAGATGGATGGTATGAAAGTCAGCAAAGGTGTTTATATAATTTTTTGAGGGGTTCCCAGGTTTTCAAACAAGCTCATATTACTTGGTTGTGCTCTTGTTTTCTGTCATGACTTCATTACTGCTGAATTAATTAGTTGTTCATATATGGACCATTTTCATAAATTAACTTCTGATATACTTTAAAGAGAAAAAAATCTCCATGTAATTTGTCATTCATGATTTAAAACCAAAATAAATCGCCTCAGTTTAATTTAAAAGTTGCATTTGCTACCGTTGGTATTCATGTAACTTAACCTTTTATTTATTACCAAAGCTTTTAGTAAATAATGAAAGGTAAGTGTTTGTTTGTTTTTGTCCCTTGAAAGGATCTTAGTTGTCAAATGTTGCTCTATTAGTACAAAGGATTCAAATTGAATTATATGTGTATACAGTGGATTAAGTGGTTGACGCAGCAGCGTTTCCTTCAGCGAGCATTGGCCATAATCTGTTTGTTTTTTTTCTTTCTAGCTAGCTTCACATAGATTCCAATTTGTTAAATTAAATGTAACTGGCAACGTTTTGAAGGGCAGCTTGTTCTTTGCAACGTATTTGCACGCCGCGTTTTCATTTCAGTCGTTACATCTCACTAATTAGTTGTTTTCTGTTCCTGCAAAGTGCTGCACTTCCATCAGCGGATCTGCTTTCCTGTGTTGTTTCTGCATCGTGCTCACGTTGTGCTTCACACGCGGTTTGTGCTTGAACTGTTGCGATCCCCTCTACAGTTTGTCCTCTGATATGTATCACACTGGCGTTCTTTTTTTCATCAGAATATCTTTACCGTCTATAACACTTCAGTGAAATGTTGAAATTGGTGAATCCGTCTCCTTTAAAGGAGGACCCAGCCTGGGGTTTTTAACTAAGGTGTGAATGACCTTTATTTAAGAAGTAAACTTGGAGCTGAGTGGCTCACGTGGCTGCTCGATAAAGGGCCACAGGTAGATGACGGCACAGTCAGAATTCTTCCTATCCGCATATCTCAAACACACTAATTCTTGGATGAGATATATTTTTACTTCCAAGTTGATGTGCCTGAACAGACAATACTGCTTCAGAGATTTCAAAGGATAAGGGGTTTCACACTTGCTGTTTACACTCAAAAGAAAGTCACCTTCTGTTAATATACAGGGGCTGATTTTGTGTTCACTTTTCCATCCGTTGGCAAAAAATGGCAACCAAATATTTTTGAGGACTATAAACGGCTTAAACCAGACTGGTTCAGCAGTTCATCACAGACTGCTTTTTAATACGCCCGCACGCTCCCAACATTTTAGTTAGTTGCTTGGTAAAATTGAGAAACTTTAGTGTTTATTTTAGTGCAAGAGGGTAATTCACTCTGAGCTCTGACGTAAGAGTAACTGCTTCGTTTCAGAATTTTCAGTGTTGAGGACAAAGTTGGGATGAAGATTCATTTATATCATTACATAACACAAGATTGCGTAACACAATTACATCTAGTCCCTTTTATTTCGACCAGAATGAAAAAAGAAATCACATGCATCAACGATAGAGTCCAGGCTTTTCCAAGGTATTTCTTCCTCTGATGGGGCTGTGTGGGCGGAATTTAGATAAAGCGATCAAAAGATTTGTTGCCATCCACTCATGTCATGGTTACCATGAAAATCCTGGCATTCATTATGCATCCAGTGCAGCAGCCTCAAACCCACTGTCTGTCAAAAATAACAGTTGACAGCCCAGACTCAAACATGACGTCTGGCAATCAACTTCCATCCTCCACTGCACCTGAGCACTAAGTATCCCTCTGCATCCTCACTTCCCAGCGGAGTGTCGGGCTTTGCCTACCTGTCAGGCTTTGCTGGAGAGAGGTGTCGAAGGGAAAGTGGGCCCAATAAGCAGGATTTCCTGTTTGTGCCTCTTGAGTCTCATCCTGTCTGCTCTGCTCTACGGTTCCTGGACATTAGCCAGAAGGAAGCTGGGCAGAGGAATAACCTCTGGTCCAATCTTACTTATCTCGACACGTATATCGGCCCCTCTGTTTATTTCTGGGTCAGCCGCTCCACTTGCGGTCAGGTTTTGGACCGACCGCTCCGGCTAGCTGAGTGGGTGTCAGAAAGGGGTGGGGGGTCGAGATGATTCTTGGGTCTGTTGCACAGGATCTCATTCTCTCTCAGAATAAACAGAAATGCAAAGTAAAAAACAATTGAAGCAATATTTGAAGGAGCCTCTGGCTTTTAAGCGTTCATGCGCCTCTGTCCCTATGATGAAACTGGGCATCGTGCCACCTGAGCAGTACCTTCATGTTTGCACATGTTTTGGTTTTGAATGCTCTTCTAACCCTTTTCACCACGAGCTCAGTTGGTTTTTATTCTGCTTGTGATTCATTTGCCGATGGAATCTGCAGAACAGGGCGTAGTAAGAGCACAGGTTCAGGTTTCTGTGGAACACAAAGGTAAGTAGAATTTTCGTGGGGACACAAGACAGATGAGCATTTGTCATTGATAACCATTTCTGCCTGTCCAGGCAATTTTTTTTTGTAGATATGGGTTTTTAAGTAGACAATCTATGAGCGGTGATTATTCAGAAATATCCATATTTTTGTAGCAGGCTGTTGGAATAAGTTGCATGTAATGTGTCCTGTTGTCGAAAAAGATGTATGACCAGTCTGTATATCCCTTTGTTGAATTCCCAGGCATTAATAGACTGTAATTATTTACGTCTCAGGGTTTATTTGGACAGTCTTCATGTTGTCAGGGAGTACAGCATGGCAGAATTCTACGCTAAGATTCTTTCTGGCCCGTTGACTTAGAATATCATCAGTCACCAGAGAACGTGGATAACAGCCAACGAAGTTTACAAACCCTATAAATCAGGACTTGTTGTACTCTCCATGCTCTCAGTCCAAGCACACTTGCTGCCCCACTGCCATTTATTTTAATGTGACATGTTTGACCACAAATTGCTTGCAGTATTTGTTAGTTTTATTCCTGTACACCTCAGAAAATATGTGTTTGGCGCAAACTGCTCCATGTGATGAGAAAAAGAGTAGAATTTGACTTTTGATTGCAAAAATCTAAATGGGTTACAGTAGGAAAAGAGTAGGGCAGTTGGCATCTCTCGACACACTTTGCTGCTGGCACAGATTCTAAAAGAGGATCTAGTGGTTCCTGTGCTTTTTCTAACACATTTGGCCCAATTTGCTATATTTGTGGAGGAATAAGGAACCTTTATCTCCTTTCCTTGCCTCCAACAACCCTTTCTAATGTCCTTGTCTTGAACGTGTTTTTCCCCTGGTATAAAGCAGGTTTTTACAGCACCTCAGGGACAGAGAGATTTTAGGCCCCGTGGTGCACTTCCAGGCCTTCACTCAGAAAGCACTTCCACCAAATAAGGAGAATTGATGTTTATCTGAATTTTTTTGATAAGTGTTTTAATACTGAATGAACAAACTTTTTATGTACTCAGTTATTGCTTCACCAACTAGTAACACACACTTAAAAAATGTGTGGTGTGGAGCCAATGAAAAAGTTTAATAAAAAACATGTTTTGTTTTTTTTTGCTTCAGCTTAAATTTTTGCATCTGCTTTTTTTTTTTAAGCTATTTTGTGCACCATAATTCATTTTCCATCCTCAGTGGACTGAATAATGAACTGAGTTATAATTGAGTTTTGAAATGGAATCAGGTTTTATTGCATTTTCCAGTTACTCAAATTTAATGAGTTCTTTCATAATACTTTTGTATCATATATGACATTGTGAGACTATGCAGGGGACAACTACAGCTGGAGAGCCAGTTGTTGTAGGCTGCTGAATAGACAATCAGCTGAAAATAGCTTTACCCTTTCTACCCTTTTTGTGTTATCGTGGTGATGTAATGTTGTGGGCCGTGTTGGTGCTGTGTGCTCAATGTTCTTTTTTTCCTCATTTGCTTGATATTCATTCCTAAAAACAAACCTGGATTCTTAGTTAGTTGAGCTGTGTATTGTGGTATACAACCTCAGAGCTGCACACTAACTGAATAACACTTGTGTTCCTAATTTTAGGAGCTGGAGTTAAAAATGTTGGAGCACCATTTAAATTTAAAGCTTGGTCAAATTTTTTTTTTTCTAATTTAATTTTGATTTCTTCACTAAAAAAGAAAATGCACAATTTCTAAACATGTTCTTTTCATAGTGTTTGGAATAATCGCAGGTGTTTCGTGTGCCTTAAGAGGTAGAACATGAGATATAATGAAGGTTGACAGATAAAAAAAAGACAAGTGGACAATTCTAAGTTTCAATCATCACAAAATGGAGCACAATGATCATAGCCTGGAACCTTGGAATCCAGCTCAATTTAAATCTGCATTGCTTCATAATTTTTTGTCCATAATTAACTCTGCAACAGAGTCCAAGTCAGCGTCTTTCACAATGTGATGTTGTATTTGTTGTATTTTCTATTTTAACATGATCTTCTGTTTGATGCACAGGTGCTGGCCTGGTTCGAAGAGGGAGAAGAAACTGTTACAGCCTTTGTGGAGCCTTTTGTTATCCTTCTCATTCTCATAGCAAATGCCATTGTAGGAGTCTGGCAGGTAAACGCACGTTACATTTGCAAATTTACCATTGTATGATTTTCTTTCTTTAAAGCCTTTTCTAGCTGTTCATGATAAGATTTTCATGATTATTCTAACGGTTTCAAAGACTGTCAGTGAGTGTCGTTAGTGAACTTTGGGACTAACTAGCTTCTTGAAGTCTTCATCGCATTAATGAAAAATCTTTGTTGTGTTAAACTTGCAATAAAATCTAACTATTCTTAAAATAGAAAGACTTATCAGCCAGACAATTCGTCACTGTTTTATTTGGAACAGATTTCTGAATGTCAAATGGACAACGTAAGAAATCTTTTATATTAATGACATCTAAAAAGGTGCTTTATTTGCAGATGATTGAATTTCATGTGTGGTCAAGACTTGAAAAGATGGGGTTGTGAGACACTTCTGATGATTTTATTCACCCAGGAGAAAGTCCAGTGAGAGCATTCATTAGTCCACTTGCTAATGAGTGATAGCCAAGTCGGCAAAAATACCTGGTGGATGTCTCAACTGTTTTTGTAAAGTAATAGTTTGTTGAAGGACCTGTCGAGGCTTGTGTAAATAAGGATCTGGCAAGTGATGGCTTTCTTTTTTATTTTTTTATGCAGATGCAACCACAGTGAATGAATGCAGAGGGGTGGAGGCTATGTCAGCCACCTTTTCATATTTAAAGAAACACCCCTGTTGCTTTCTCATGAAAGGCCATAATTTCCTGGCATTGTGTGCTCTGTCTACTCAAATACTGCCCACAGAACCAGCCAGGCTGGAAGCTGCCACGAAAAGCTAATCTTTATCAGACTCCAACAGAAAATGAAAAGTCAAGGAAAAGGTGCCAATAAGAAATGTTTAGAAACAGAATGAACACATAACTTTTGGAAAGACTGAAGTAAGAAAAGCGTTGTAGGTTTGAAATAAGGCCAATCTTTGCCTTGAATGTGGGCTTAAAGGTTACAGAAACTTTAAGGTGTATGCTTTCAAAGTCATTTAATTCCAGCACCTTTCTAACTGTTAAGTGTATTTTTTAAACTAATTTGAGACATGGGAACAGGATTATGCAGTTCTTGGCTTTTTAATGTGCTGCCTTGCCTGTATAAAAGGGCTCTTTACATAATCGAATATCTAAAAGGTTTTCTTCCATCTTCACTGTAAAGAGGTGTTTGTGACTTGTCCTCCCCCTTGGTTTTGACTGAATTGCAAATTCCTGCATTTTCAGGAGCGAAATGCAGAAAATGCCATTGAGGCGCTGAAGGAGTACGAGCCAGAGATGGGGAAGGTGTACCGACAGGACAGGAAGAGCGTCCAGCGAATCAAAGCCAGAGATATTGTGCCGGGAGACATTGTGGAGGTGGCTGGTAAGATGAAAATGGTTCTGCATAATAATTCTGATGGGGTTTTTCATGTCTTTGAACAATGACACGGCACAATGTGGGCAAACAACAAAGTGCAAAGCAGGGGCATTTTTTAGATAAACTTATTTTGTTGTTGATGTTTTGACATTTCCATGTAGAAAGTTTTATTCATTTAGCCATTGCTGTAATTTAGAGTGCTTATTTCATTCACCCAATTGTGGAGAGGTCAGCTTGGTGGTTTTAACTGGCCATGGCACTGGTTAGAATGGTTGGAGTTGTAAGGGAGAATTCCTCTGCTGTGTTTTTACACACTGATGCTAATGATCACGTTAAGAGATGTATGATTCACGTAATCTAGCAAGTTAATCATCCAATACTTAAATCAAGCAAATATACATGCAGCTTATCCCTCAGCACGGTTACCTCCCATGACAATTTAAAAGATAATAATAAAACAGCACATTTAAGTGGTTATGCAATACAAGAGCGGAGGTCCAGTCTGTTCCTGAGCATTTCTTGGCTAACCCCTGTTTGAGTCGGCCACATATCTTTATGCCTTTTACGTCACTCCTCTTTTTTTCACTAAGCCTTTGTTTTTCTTTGGGTTTAGTTCCCCTTTTTAAATAGAGAATTTTTATCTTTTTGAATTATTTATACTTACGTTTCCCTTTGGGTGAAGCTGCACGGAGATGGGTCATCGTTTCTTTTTTTGTTTTGTTTTGCGTTTTACTGCCAGATAAAGACAAAAGATGACACCGTTGGGCTCATTTCCAGCTTCTGCTGGTTGATTAGTGAAAGTGGTCAGAACCACTGTGCCTCAGTCTGCTTAACAAGCTCCAAATACATCAGTGTCGGCGAGCATAACGAAAAACTGTACGGCAGTGGAAATTACTAATGTAACAACCGAGGATTCACTGCACTACAGGAGGGAACAGCAGCAGTTAAACGGACGACATTTTGCCAACACATACGAACAGTTCATCTTATTTTACCAGTCTGAGTCAGATTGTTGAGAGTTAAGAGTTTCTTCAATTCTTAACAAATTCTAGAAACCAATAAACTACCTACTGTCAGTAAGCATAAAGTCCACTGAGGCCGGTTATTTCAGTCTATTTCTTAGCTTCATTATCAGCAAAAGATTAATCATGAATAACAATTTTTAATTTTGACATGTTCAATCTGTTGTCATTGTTTACGTCCATGAATTTTAAACATGCCGGAGGGTAAAATGACTATTGTTTTACTACTCAAAATTGATAAATGGGAGATTTTGTAGTTGTTGTCTACATTGTCTAAGAAAGGCACATCTACATTTCATTCCTTCTTCAAGCAAAATGATCAGTCCAAATTTTTATTTAGTTATTTGTTTTTTACCACAGAGCACAGGATGACGGCCATGAACTTACATACTGTAGCTTCTAGAACAACTAAATGAATAAAACGCAAACAAAAAAAGCTATTTATTATTATTGGAGTGTTAAAGCAGGTCTTTTTATTGTGATGCTCTAATTTGTCAGAGGTTGGCACAATCCATAGGGCAGCATTCCATGCTGCAGATTTAATCAGCACTGAGAAAGTGAGTGCAGTGTTTTAATACCACCAGCTGACATTTATGATCATCTTGAGACTAGGCTGACAACTGAAAACGAGACCAAAGCATCTGTTCAGTTTTGGACAGGATTTACTTCTATGTGACGACCTGACTCTGGGGGCTCTGTTGCCTGCCCAAAGGTAAACTGGTTCTCACAGGGTTGGCACTTTAAACCAGCTCTAACATACTGTTCATCATGCCGATGTTTATGAACTTAATGGACACATGATCTGTATTTACATTACTCATTTTATTGCAGGGCCTTGCCCACAACTGCAAACACACTGAAACAGAACTCCGTCATGAGGAAAACAGAGGCTCTTCCGCACTAAACAGTCTTTAACGCTTTTGAACTTTTTTTCCATTCTCCAGTAAGAAAAACTAATGTCGCATGGCTCAAATTAATTTTTAGAAATTAAATATGTACCGGAACATCCTGAAGCAATGAGAGGCAGCTCGGATGTGCTCTCCTTGTCCCCATTATAATGGGAAGAGTGGGGTTGATTCAAAAGATTATGACGTGAGTCAAGTTAGCCACATGTTTTGCTTCTTTTTGTTGTCAGTGGCAGGTTTTATTCGATTTAAAACTAGTATAGACTTGTAAAGACATCGGGTTTAAATATTTCAGCCAAGCAATCATGTTTAATTTCACAGCCTGCTGGTTCTCACACTGTACATCGACTGAACTGGCAGTGGTCACCAAATGTGGGCTTTCATGGTCAAACGTTTTGTCAACGGGGCATGAGCTCCGATCCATCGTGGCAGACTATTTTCCCACCACTGACCGTCTTATTTCATATCCTAGAGGGAGTCTTTGTTCTTGGCAGATAAAATCTAGGCCAGTGAGAGAGATGCAATTGGAATGGAACCAAATAAACCTGATTTTCAAAAGCGCTGCACAGCCTTGCCGTCGTCTTCCTGTCACCCTGGTTATTATGCTCACCGTTAGAAACAGTTTTAGTGCTGCAGCTAAACAGACTCTGTCCTCATCTCGTTCCTCTTGCACAGATCTGAATGATGTTGGATTTCTGATATGCTTTATAGAAATGAACTTATGCTGGTGGACCTGATAAAACTGACTATTTGAGGTCTGTGTAAGCAAAAGAAATTTGACCAGACTGAGGTTGGGGCTCTTTGTGCATAAAGTCAGCTTTACCTGAACCAAATGCCTTTTTGTTTTAAACTAGTCTTTTTTTCCCTGGGGCACCAGATTGTAATATCATAATACAACAGTGACGTACAATTTAAATGACTGTATTAATGTTGTTATTGAATTGGATGATTAGATAGACTTAATGAAATCCGGTGATTGAATAAACGTCGCTATATTGCACACTTTGTATCAGTAATAACCTGAAGATGAACTGATGAACCTTTCAAATGGAGAGAAATAATGTGTGTACATCTAATAATTAACCTGCTGCGTGAGCTCAAAGCGTCTCTACTCCACGGCTCTTTGTCGGCCCCGTGTCCCTTTAGGTTAATGTCTGTGCTAAAACCCTGACCATTTTACATCCCAGAAGAGAAAGGCGACTTTTTCTCTCCAGCTGCAGTTTGAGTTTACTGCCTGTTCTTGGACATGAGAGGGTAATCAACTTTGTTTCTGTCTGACCTGAGCTTTGATAACGCTCTCAGGGGAGTGATCACAGGAGACGTAAGACAGGATGCAGCGAGTGGAGAGGATGCAGATTCGGCTTGAGGAAAAGTGTGCGGTGGTCTGCTTATCGTCGTCCCTCGGTATCCCTTCTGCTGGTCTGCTCATCTGTTGTCCTTGCTTTATCCTTTTGCCTGTCCCAAATGTTACTCCGTTACGTCAACACGCCAGAATCATAATGAAATGTTCTGTCAGAAGTGTTTATGCGAAGGTCCCCAAAGGAGATGTAGGAAGTCATGAAAGGTCCCAGATCTTTGTAAGTCTACGTGCTAGCGCGTCATGGAGCCTCAGTCACTGTGAGAGAAAATATACAACCCCCCGAAGACATTCAAAGCTTCACTGGACCCCCCAAGATGAATAGCTGGGTGCTCGGGAACTTGCACCCAGCTCAGTATTCGATGCAGCCTGTGTGTCCAGGGCTTCTGAGCTGATCTCAGCTGTCGGTGATGGTGGCCGTCTCTTCTGCTGTTGTATCACACGTAGTGGTGCATGAGATTTGCCCCGGCCTGCACAGGCCGGCGGGGATGTTGGCTGGGAGATTGAAGCCTGACATTTGTGCCTCACACAGTGATATAGGCAGCAGATAGAATCACATGGGAGGAGGAAAGTCCATGTCCCACAGGCCCTCCACTGTCTCCCATTTAAAAGAAAAAAGAGAGCTGAAAAGCATGTTTTGTATATTGGGGAAGGGCAGGGTGTCTCTCCTGCTGAGTGGAAGTGGTCGCACAATTTGGGTCGCACAATGTATTGTGTTAGCACAATAATTTAATATACTGTGTGCATGTGGGGTCCTAGATGTGAAACCTAGGTGAGGATGCTGAGCAGTGGTGAACACACCTGACTTGCTGACCCATGTGTGCTTAGCTTAGCTGGACGTTTGCTTTGACAGAGGACCAAAGAAATGCCCCCGTACATATGTTGGTCACCGATCGAGGCATATGTGACACCGAGCGGTTTTAAGATTTCTTCTTGCCTCTGAATGAGTCTCGGCTGCTCGTGAAAGTGGGTTAGTCCGCTGGCCGTGACCTTATTCCCATTATATACCGTCGGGTAGAAAATAGCAGGGGTGTTTTTTACTCCATTAGAAGAAGGATTTCCAATTAGTGACTTTCTGCGAGAACCTTCCCCAAGGGCTTTGAGTCCCTGGTATAGCCAGCGACAGCAGTCCCGCTTTTTTGTGTGTCTACTATGGATCTGTTTTTTGTCCTTTTTACATCCTCCCGCCTGTAAGGTGAATTGACTTTGCAGACACACAGGTCAAAATGATGTAGTTTTGTTAGCGTGTGGTAATCTTCTGGACCCAATAAGGCAGCACATCTGATCCAGCCCATAAATGTTAGTGCTCAGCATACCGTGTTGTGTCCTGAGAAGGTTTTACTATTTTTAAAATGCTGCTGTCTTTTGTGTACTTAGTCAGCTACTTAGGCCATGACCAAAGTTTTGTGTGTTAGGTCTCTATTAATGGTTGCGAGAAAAGGGAAAGCGGCTCCAGCCTACGAGGACGGCTGCCTGTACGCAGCCCCACGTCATTCCGTTTCCGCTTCAGTTCGTGACATGGAGCGGGATCTCCCGGCTTAAAACAGATGTTTTTAGCATTCCCCCCTCCCCCAAAATCCAGCAGCTTGTTCTCAAATGATCAAAATAGTTTTCCCATTTTTGGACGTGTGTTTTGAAGGACTCATCTCACTCCACTCTCCACCCCTTAATCCTCCGCCCGTTTCCTTCTGTTCAGAGCGGCGCGGCAGAAGCCCAGGGGTGGGTTTACACGTCTGTCACCACTCTGTCCAAAGAGCCAGTTCTTAAGAGCCTCCGGGTCACTGCTTTTATCTTTGCCCTTTCAAGCTGTGTAATGTCTAACTGTAAGCTGATTGAAAAATGCCTGTTTTCAGTAGCTGCATTATCCGGCATGTTCTCCTCTTTGGAACTTTGTGGAAATGTCAGTCATCAGTAATCATCCCACGTTACCTGAGAAACGCCCCAAATCTCAATCTGGGGTGAAAACATGAGTTTATTTATATTTGGTATGGCAATTGTAACATTTCTGTCTGCGTTCACATCTCACTGTAACGGAGAGGCAGAGCTGAGCCTCTGCGTGTAGAGCAGAGTCCTCCTAAATTCTGAAGGACTAACGCTGATTAAAACCACAGAAGTATAAGGTCATCTGTCAGCACAGCTCGCCTCCGAATTAGCTGCACGTGAAACCCTGAAGAGAAAGAATGTTCAATTCCCTCTTTTTATTCATTTGTTTTAAACAGAACGAATTAATGTCTGTGCCTTTGATGGTACTTATTGGATTTACACCGACGGAACTCTTATTGTGTATATTCATGTCATTCTTCTTTTGCTGGGGAATTGCTGAAGCCCTGTGATAGTGGAAAGAATGCACTGCAATCTATTTGTGTCCTGTGCAGAAGAGTGGAACATTAATAATTTTGAATGCATGACTCTTCCCCAGCCTCTCCAACAAATAACTCAAGCTTAATTATGTTGTTACTCTCAAACAGCGCAAGTATGATAACTCGACAGATGATTTCATTCCCTAATGCGCTTTGCCTGCTTGTGGTTTCTTTCCTTATTTTATAGCTTTTCGTGTGTCAGGATACATTTGGGACATTTTAACACTGATTTGGTTCCCATCTGGCTTTGTAAACGTTTAGTTTTTGGGAGCAGTTTCATTTAAATTGTTAACTTGTATGTCTTTTCTGTCAACAGTTGGTGATAAAGTGCCTGCAGACATCAGGCTGTCCTCTATCAAGTCCACCACTCTGAGGGTGGACCAGTCAATTCTGACAGGTAAAGAATTCCTAAAACCTGGCCCTCACTGTGTTTTGTGTGTCTGTGTTTTTTAAAAAGTTTTCATTTTAATTTGTATTAATTTCTTGCTTGCCTCCACAAACTAAACCAAGGCACAGGGAAAATAAGCAACGTGCACCTTCTGTCCAGATTATGCAACTCATTTCATACCAATATGAAAGAAAGATAATGTGAATGGAAAATAAAGTATGTGAATGGGCCACAGGCCAGTTGGATGACTGGAAAAGATTAGAGGTGAAGAATTTTGAAGAATGGCTAATGCAAACGAAGTGGTTTATGTGAATCAAGTCTTTAAATCACTTGTCCTGCTCGGCTGCCTTAATTGGTAGCAAATTCCTTGGGATATTTTAGTGTTTGAACTATTTTGCTCCTTGCTTCTCTCCTCTTCCCCATTCATGGCCATACTGCTTGTCAAAGGCTCCCTGCTTTACTTGGTCAGAACTGTGCAATCCCTGCTCAGTCAATTACTCCCAAAAATACATGTGATGCAGCCCTACATTTCATGAGGGCTTTGAAACACCGCGCCTGGCCGGGGTTTGATAATTATCCGGCCAGCTCAGTCAGGCTTTTTCACACATTAGCCCAAAGTGCCAACCAGCCATCACTACTACCTCCTCATGCTCAACCGTGTGTGAACTCCCACTGCTTCCCATTCTCTTATCTTCGGTTCTTTCTTGTTACAGGGGAGTCTGTTTCAGTGATCAAGCACACAGACCCGGTGCCAGACCCCCGTGCTGTCAACCAGGACAAGAAGAACATGCTCTTCTCTGTGAGTGACTCTCAAGTTGCTGTTAACTGCTATTTAACATCTTTTTATGTATACAACTGAACTTGAAACGCAAAGGTCGTCCTGTTTTCATATGGTCAGCTGTTCCACTACACGTCATGTTTAATAAATGATTTTTTTGCTGCTTTGGGGAAATATTACAAAGAAGCTCCTCAGTTTCTGTAAGTCAACATACACCGAATATTAGTAGTGCGAGTCTTCTATGAGTCATTGTACTAAATAATGTATCTTCAGATAAAATTAGATTTTAGTGTCTTGTGCTTAGAAATGTGGTGCATCATGTCATGCTTCTGTAGGCTTTTGACTCTTCCCGTGAACTGCAGATGGGCGTTTGAAATGTTTTTCTCCCGTACTCCACAGGGCACCAACATCGCAGCCGGTAAGGCCGTCGGCGTGGTCGTGGCCACAGCTGGAAACACAGAGATAGGCAAAATCCGAGACGAGATGGCCTCAACGGAGCAGGAGCGCACGCCACTGCAGCAGAAGCTGGACGAGTTTGGCCAGCAGCTGTCCAAGGTAACAGCTGTCCATGTTCAGTCGCCCACCACACCGAGTCCGTTTGATTGGGTGTTGAACTTTTTTTTTCAACCACGATGTCCTTTCAGGTCATTTCACTGATCTGCATCGCTGTGTGGATCATCAACATCGGCCATTTCAACGACCCCGTCCACGGGGGCTCCTGGATTCGAGGCGCCGTCTATTACTTCAAGATAGCCGTGGCTCTGGCGGTCGCCGCCATCCCTGAGGGTACGTCGGAATACCTTTTTCGAGCTTTGATATGTTTTTCTGTTTTATTTGACTAAAGTTCATGTCTAAATAAGCATCTTATCCTTTTGGGCTTCTGCCGTCCAGGTCTACCTGCTGTCATCACCACCTGCTTAGCCTTAGGAACACGCCGGATGGCCAAGAAGAACGCCATCGTCCGCAGTTTGCCCTCTGTGGAGACCCTCGGCTGTACATCTGTCATCTGCTCTGACAAGACTGGCACGCTAACCACTAACCAGATGTCTGTGTGCAGGGTAAGAGAGCAGTGACGCAGTGCTGGGGTCTGAATAAATTCTCTGCTCAAGGTGACTGAGGTGAAAGGAAATTCACCAGACGCAGTTTGGTGGTAAAGAGTGGCAACAGATGAGCGTGTGCAAACAAGACTTTCACATGTCCACCTGGTGTAAGGACAGATGCAGGGCAGGGTTTAATCAAACTGTCAAGCACCACTTAAAGTTTGGATCAGTAGCGTCGAAGTCGGTTAGAAGATGTTTGACTGCTGACGTAAAGCAACATTTTTTACATTTTTTGTGATTAAATTTAGGGAACAATCTTTAAAACAAAGTTTCCAATCTTTGTGAACTGGACAATTAGAATGGGGGGGGGGGGGGATCTTGGCTCTCAGACCTGTCATGTGTCGCATGTGTTAGCACGAGATGAACATCTTTCCCAAATCAGCGCATCGCTCCGTTCAGACTGGACAGTAAATAAGAAATTACAAAGGACTCGGAGGTCTCTGTTTTCTCATCTATAAATAGCACAACTGACATAATGTGATGTCTGTTTACAGTACCTTTTTTTTTTTTTGCTAGCAGAGTATTTTCCTCCCTTCTTTTCCATCCCTCCTTATTGCTCAGCCCCCACCCCGATCAGCAGCAGGCTGATCAGTATGCAGTGGTTAGTCACTTGCAGCAAAACCAGTTGAGTTGCATAACTGACCTTGTGCGTCTTTCTATTGGTTCTCTGCATCTTCGTCCTTTGTTCATCCTGTATAATTTTCCTCTAGCCGAGCCTTATGATCTGGTATCCTGAGAGTCATTAAATCAGGTGCGTTAAACAGACATTTTCTGCCCGTTTGATGCAGCTGACGTATACCCAGAATCTAAGCTGGCCCTAGCCAAATAGGGCAGTGCTAAAATTAGTCAGATGTTAAGTGCAGTTCCTTTTACATGCTCTTGTGTTTTGAGAATGGAAACATCAGTGTGTGAAGACTTTTTTTTATGGTCGTGTAGTTGCCTGGGGAGACTGTCCCTGTTGTGTGCTCATCATTTTAATTTAGGCCTTTGTCGTCAGTCCGCCTCACTGTCAGTTTTGGACTTAATGAACAGCTGAAACGGATTATTCTACTGGTGGACTCATTTATTTATCTCTCTTTTGCATTTTTTAATGTTCAAAATGCAGAAAATAAGATGCGTAAAAGACTCAGAATCAACATTGATCTCCATCCATTTCCCTGAAAGTTTAGATTCAGTGCTGTTTGAATGATTCACTCCTCCAAATAGGATTTTAACTTGATGTGACCACACAAAGGAATTTTGTGCTTGACATGCTGTAAGATGACGTTTCTAGACCCTCTCCATCAGAGTTCAGTGCCTGCTTTGCTTTGTGAGGGCAGACGCCTGCTGCCCCCTGCTGGATGGAGCTGCCATCTCTTATTTTTAATTTATTAATTTATTTTTTTGCTCATTAGTTATTTCACTCATTGTCAAGACTGGGTCTGTTGTGTGACATCAATCCATTTTAAACACACAAACAGTATTTATTTGTATTTCCACATGTCCTCTTTCTTCCAGATGTTTATTGTGGATAAAGTAGAGGGCAACCACTGCGCATTAAAGGAGTTCAATGTGACTGGCTCCACCTATGCCCCAGAAGGAGAAGTGTGAGTCCTCAGTGTCTTAAATGTTTGTTAAAATCTCGGTAAAATGTGTTGTTAACTAATCAAAATCATACTTAATGTAATTTCATTTATATCATTATGGATTCGCTGCAGGTTAGAATTTATTTTTATCCTTCATTTAAACCAGATGATTTTTCACTTGTTCAGGTTTAGCGATGGCAAACCAGTCCAATGTTCCAAGTATGATGCTCTGGTGGAGCTGGCTTCCATCTGTGCTCTCTGCAACGAGTCCTCACTGGACTTCAATGAGGTTAGTATTCTGCTGTTCCTCCTGGTGTTTCAGCGTCTATTTGCTAATTCTTTAATGTTTTCTGTGGCATTTTTGATGAAACCTGATGGTGGTTTGCCCGCATTTATTTCTGTTTAGGCCAAAGGAGTGTATGAGAAGGTGGGCGAGGCCACAGAGACGGCTCTGACATGCCTGGTGGAGAAGATGAACGTGTTTGATACGGACACCAAAGGCCTGTCCAAAATCGAGCGCGCCAATGCCTGCAACTCTGTACGTAACCTTTAATGCTTCTCTATCTATAGCAATACAGAGTTTTTGCTTTGAACGTCCTTGAAATATTATGTAAACCCCCTTCATTAAGTCCTTCCCCTGCCAGTACGAAAGAATGACTCTCTGCTTTGTTTTGATAATCACAGGTCATCAAACAGCTGATGAAGAAAGAGTTTACCCTGGAGTTTTCCAGAGACAGGAAGTCCATGTCTGTGTACTGCACTCCCAATAAAGCCCGATCCTCTGTCGGGAAGATGTTTGTAAAGGTAAAAAGAAAAGGCACATGCGCTTGCAGAGGTTTTAGGTTTTAGTGGTACTTACTTGTTGGGTCCGGCCATTCGCATTTATTTTTTTCTGTCTGTCCTCAATCACAGGGTGCCCCAGAGGGAGTGATTGACAGGTGCACACACATCCGTGTAGGCAGTAACAAAGTGCCCATGACGCCTGGCATCAAGGAGAAGATTTTGTCTGTGATCAGAGAGTACGGGACAGGCAGGGACACTCTGCGCTGTCTGGCTCTGGCCACCCGAGATAACCCCATGAGCAAAGAGGAAATGGTGTTGGAAGACTCCACTCGCTTCGTACAGTATGAGGTGAGCGGTCAGTCCTTTGGATGAGCTCGCCGGACGGGTTTCTTATTGCTTTTTGACCGATGACAGCTTTTCCCTTTTTTATCATCCAGACCGATCTGACGTTTGTGGGCTGTGTGGGCATGCTGGATCCTCCCCGGGCCGAGGTGGCCGCCTCTATCAGGCTCTGCCGTCTGGCAGGCATCAGAGTGATCATGATCACTGGAGACAACAAAGGTTAAAGGAGTCTGAAGCTTCCCAAAAATTGAACAAGCACAAACGTTTTTCATTCCACCGACCACCCCAAATGAAGACAGTGTTTCTGTTTCCGTTTGGAAAGCCTGTGGAATTAAAACCTTGTGTCTCTGTGCATCCAGGGACAGCAGTGGCCATCTGCAGAAGGATTGGTATCTTTGGAGAGGAGGACGATGTTTCCAGCATGGCTTACACTGGCCGAGAGTTTGATGATCTCTCCCCTGCCGCACAAAGGGAGGCTGTGGTCAAGGCTCGCTGCTTTGCCCGCGTCGAGCCCGCACATAAATCCAAGATTGTCGAATTTCTTCAATCTTACGACGAGATCACCGCCATGGTAAGAAAAGAGCACAGTATCAGCCAGAAAAACATGTGTTTTAATGTTGCGTTGGCGATTTATTAATTCTCCCATTTCCCCTCCTGCTTTTAGACTGGTGACGGTGTAAACGATGCCCCCGCTCTGAAGAAGGCCGAGATTGGTATCGCCATGGGCTCAGGAACCGCCGTGGCCAAGACCGCCTCAGAGATGGTGCTAGCCGACGACAACTTCTCCACCATTGTGGCCGCAGTCGAAGAGGGCAGAGCCATTTACAACAACATGAAGCAGTTCATCAGATACCTCATCTCCTCAAACGTGGGAGAAGTCGTCTGGTAAGGCAATAATGGCCGGTGGGCGCGCGCCCGTTTTCTGTGGAGCCGTCCTGGAATGCGAGCGCCTTTTCTGATCTGGACGTTTCTTTTGGGTGTAGCATCTTCCTGACCGCAGCTCTGGGGTTCCCTGAGGCTCTCATCCCCGTGCAGCTGCTCTGGGTCAATCTGGTGACTGATGGTTTGCCCGCCACCGCGCTGGGCTTCAACCCCCCGGACCTGGACATCATGAGCAAACCTCCACGCAATGCGCGGGAGCCCCTCATCTCTGGGTGGCTCTTCTTCAGATACCTCGCCATTGGATGTAAGTTGGAAGTGCAGTTCCTGCAGCAAATAATTAAGGAACATTTCCTGGTGTTTAGCGTCCAGCTCGTCCCATACATCCATCCCTATTTATTTTTGAAAGCAGAGCCGTGTTATAGCCTCCTGCGTTGTCATTTGCAAAAGGAAGCATTGTGCAATTACAATTCTGTTGCCAGGTTACGTTGGGGCTGGCACGGTCGGGGCTGCTGCATGGTGGTTTGTTGCTGCTGAGGATGGGCCCAGAATCACCTTTTACCAGCTGGTAGACCTATTAATACCTTCTAACGTTTCGATTTACCGCACTTGGAAACACAAAATGAAACACCCATGCGGTTGGCCCTAACCTCTGTTTGTGCTTAAATCTATTGCAGAGTCATTTCCTTCAGTGTGGCCCAGAAAACCCAGACTACGAAGGTCTGGACTGTAAGGTGTTTGAGTCTCCCTACCCCATGACCATGGCCCTGTCGGTGCTGGTCACCATTGAGATGTGCAACGCCCTGAACAGGTTGGTGTGAGCAACGGTTCCTCCTGGTTCTGTGAAACCCCGATGCCATCATCCGGGTCTTGACTGCATGTTGTAGTGTCTCACGAAGGCGTCCTCGTGTCTGTGCCGTTTCTCAGTGTGTCGGAGAACCAGTCGCTGCTGAGGATGCCCCCCTGGGAGAATGTGTGGCTGCTGGGAGCAATCTGCCTCTCCATGTCTCTGCACTTCCTCATCCTCTACGTGGAGCCTCTTCCAGTGAGGACTACTTTTGCAGTTTGTCCGGTGTGTCATTGTTTTGTGAGGTGGGGTACTAAACCGGATGCTTGTTCTCTCCTTTCTAGATCATCTTCCAGATCACCCCTCTGAATCTGACACAGTGGCTAATGGTGCTCAAGATCTCCCTGCCAGTCATCCTCCTGGATGAATTTCTCAAGTTTGCTGCCAGGAACTACCTGGAGCCCGGTAAAGAGCTGGAGAAGCCTGCCGGCTCCAAAGGCTGCTCCCTGTCTGCATGTATGGAGGGAATCTCCTGGCCCTTCGTGGCCATTTCCCTCCCCTTGGTGCTCTGGATCTACAGCTCCGACACTAACCTGGCCGACATGTTTATGTCCTGACTGACTTGAGCACAACCTCGACTTTTCCATTCCCCACCCACTGCCATCACTTCCCTCTCTCCTCTCCTCCTTCTCTCTCTGCCTTCCTAAATGTGCATAGCTAGTGTGTGTGTGTGCATTTGTAGAGTTAGTGTGTGTGTGTGTGTGCGCGCGGCTGTGCGTACGAGAAGGACCGACTCACGACACATAACAAATAATATAAAATGTTAACAAACACTTGTGTTGAGTTGGGGTAGGACTTGTGAATGGGTGAAGCTTTAACTGTGAGTGTTAGAAGACCATCACTCCCATGGCTGTGGACTTGGTTGCTGGTTTGAGAGAAAAAAATGTTGCCAGTTTTTTCTTTCTTTTTTTTTTTTAAATTAGTTTTTGTTTGTCTTTATTGCCTTTAAGGTATATTTTAAATATTTTGAAAAATTTCCATGTCCTTTTTGTCACTACAATTACATCAAATTGTTTTGTTCAGCCTCCCTCCTAAAGAAATGGAAATTTAAGATATCAGAAAAATAATTTGATCTGTACAGAGATTGAACACTATTTTATGCAAATTCTTTTTTTTTTAAATGGCTTTGTAAATTGTTTGACCAGCGTGGCTTAGACATACATAACGCCTTCATTTTGTTTTTTCTAATGTTTACCATTGTGTCTTCAGTACAAACTCAGAGCTCTCTGAGAAGACAAGCTCCATTCGGCAGACTAGGACGGGGAAAGGTTTGGGATGCTCAGTGTAAACAGAAAGGAAAAAAAAAACCCGAGAAACAAAAAGCTGCATGTCCTGTGAACAAGCATGAACTGTATGTGGTTTCTCATTCTAATTTAACTGTGTGTGTTCCCCCTGTTAAAGCATAAATTAACTTTGTGGATGTTTTTGTTTTTTAAATTTTTGAAAATTTGATTAATAAGTCAGTTTTTCTGCACTGGGCAGAGCACAGCTACCTCAGTATGATTAAAGGTTTTTTTTTTTTTTTTTGCTCATCTTGAGATGCTTTTCATCATCAGTCCTGCTAAACCACAACAAGAGGTGTGCCCCTTTTTTGCTTGTGCAGAAAACAACGAACAGAATCCTCCTCTAACACTTTTAAGGATATATTTTGTTTGTATTGACTTGTGACGTTCTTTAACTTTATTTGTGTTTTGCTGTGGATACAGCGTGAGGTGGGGATGCCGTATGTTATTAACTATTCTCCATGGCGTTTGATTCAAAGGACAGTTATATTGGAAACTTGAGAAATACTAATTCAGCAATTACTCCAAATGATCGTTGATTGCAAATAAAAAAAAAAAATCCCAAATGTCTTTTTTTTTTCTACTTCAACAAAAATACACTCTTGAACCCTTTGAATCAAGTGTTTTCTGTCTTTATTTAAGACAACTGAGGTCTACGGTTATACTTTTCATATCAATTTCTTTGTTTTTCTTTTTCCAGATCTTTTTAGCCAGTTTTCTTTACACAGCAGGCAGGCAGAACCTGCTCTGCTGTATTTCTGGCTTTGGTAGCCTTTTAATATTTACGGCACTTGGTTCCTGCAAGTTTGATCAGAGCTGTCGCATCATTTTGAGTAGAGATCATCATGTGTGAGGTGGAAAAAAAACTGTCCAAAGCATGTGCTTTTGGTGGAAGAGTGGGTTTGCACTGCCTGTTTCCCTTTTAATGTGTTTTTGTTTCCTCTTCAATGCCTTCCTTTGGCTACCATGTCACTTGAGTGAGTATCCATTTCTTTAAATTCTTCACCATAAAAAGTAACTTGATCAACAATTTTCCAAGACATTTTATGCTAGAGGCCTTTTGTTTTATATAGAAAGGTATTTTTAGAAAGTTAATCTAAGTAATTGTACATATTTGAGGTAATTCTGTGCCATCACTCCACCACATGTCACTATTGTGAATGCCACCGTGTGCTGTTCTTTTCACCACTCTGACACTTGCTTATATTCACAAAATCTACAGTAATGTTTAAGAAAAAAGAGAGAGACAGAGGGCCAAAAAGATTTTAAGAGCCAGTTTTCTTTCCTCTGACACTGTGTGTTTTCTTTCCAGGTTGGCTTTCATAGACGTTTTAAAGAGCGGAGTCACAACTGGGCGTTGTCTAACCACCCTGACGCGCGCACTCACACTTGGCTCATGTCAGAGGCCGTGATGACCAGCAGTAGGTACCAAAACACAAGCCGAACGTTTTCAGAGCGGGACGACCAAATACCTAGTAGTAGACTTCCATTAGTGTGCATTTACAACACAGGAACACGTGCACACGTTTAGACGCACACCATCCCCCCCCCCCTCCCGGTGTGCTTATGTTAAATTCCGATACTGCTCCATTTTTCTGTGCAGGGAAGATCCCTCTTGCATGAATTACTCGTTTCTGACGTCCATGGTAGCTCAGCGCATAGCAAAACTTTAAAAACACCGGGTGAATGATCTTAGCTGAACATGTGTACAAAAACATTTCATGCATGCGTTTCAGCTGTAGATGTAGGCTTTGCTATTTCTATTTATAGATTCTAATGTATGATACTCAAATAACATTAAGAGGGTTATAAGATGGATATATGACATATTGCAGTGGTTAAGGTAATTTGCACAATATTTAGAGAGACATGGCTGTGCTCAACTTGAGATTTTAATTTTCTTTTACATTCTCGATGTAACTTTCTCCCTCCATTACCAATAGAAATAGGTTAACTACTCATCGGTTTGTTTTCCAATGAATACATCTGACTGGCTCATTCATTTGATACTCTGCAATACGACATCTTTTGTTTCATTTCAGATATTTTGCCTTTGCATTCCTTCTATGTATCGTTATCTACTGCTGTAAAACTGTGATTTAATGTGAGGGGGGGGGCTGCACAGCCTCCCCAGCGACACCCGGTCGCAGAACAATATTAACCATATGTAAAGAAGACACCGATCATTATTGGAGAGCGATAATGATTGTACATGCATTGCTGAGGTTGTGGTTTCAGGTAAATAAAATGATATTAGTATAAACCGTGTCTGGCTTTCTTTTTCTCCTTTTTTGTTGTTGCAAATCAATCATTTTATTCATTTTTGAAGAACAAAAACGCACTCACTCATGCTTAAAGTATTTTATCAAGTAGCAGAGGAACTGGAGGGCAGGCCCCAAACATGAGCAGCTTCTATCCAGGAGGTGGCGGTGTTGAATTAAAGATTGCAGCAGCTCCACAGAACGGACACTACAACTGTTCAGCAGACAGCTAATTCAATTCAATTCAAGAAAAATACTTTAAGGAGACGAAGTGGCGCTTAAACTAGGCTCAACAAAAAAGGAAAACTATTAAAATCAGTTGGAACAAATTAACAATGAGGTGATGTAATGAGATTGGAGACTTCAGAAAACAAAAAAAGTACAAACATACACAGACAAACACACGTGTGTGTGTATATACATATATATGGGTGAGATGTTTTATTCTGTTACGAGATTGGAGGCTTCAGACAACAAAAAAGTACAAAAAAAAGTACAATACACACACACCTATATATCCCATATATATATATATATATATATATATATATATGGGAGAGAGAGGTTTAGTTCTGAGGCTGGGGAGTTTTGCGTTTCCACCTGAGGTCAAACGGCGGCTGGCTGCCCGGTCAGGGCCGCTGGACCGGTCAGGGCGGCCGGACCGCATCCTCCCGGCTCTGTCTCTTTAACCAGCGGGCTCGGTGTCAGCCTCCTCAGGTCCCTCCCCCTCCTCCCGCAGCCCCTCCAGCTGCCGCCGGCCTGAGACGGGAGGGAGCACACACGGACGCGGCACCGTCACGGCCGGAGCCTCAGCCCCTCAGTCTGCGGGGGGAGCGGTGAATAAAAAACAAACCCCAACAATAGCGCACAGGGAATGGAACGGGGCTGAGTGCGCGTCAGGTCCTCGTCTCACGCCGGACACCGTCTCCCGATCCCATCTTCAGAGAAGCTGATGCTGCCTGCGCGTTTTTCTATCCATTCTTCCTCTGCGCTCTTGGTACAAAAGCGCTCGGTCCAAACAGACAGCACCTGGGATTACAGTCTGGGGAAAATGGAGCGGCTACTTATATGAAAATGTTTAAAAAAAAGATGGAATGTGGATGGAACGCAGACGGTGAGTCGGCCCGGACGGATTAAAGCACTTTCTCCTTTTTCTCCTCCGTGGGAAGCAGACCTCCCGTGTCAACCCCGCCAAGACGTAAGGTCATTGTTTCGAGACAGATCATTTTTTTGGGAGACAAACATTCTGCGCGCAGCTTTTCTTTTTTGATTGGAACGATGAAGGAGGAAGATGAGTTTTGCCGGAGAATTCCCCTCCTCCTTATTTCTGTCGCGCGTTCCCTGTTTTCGCTGTGAGGCATTGGTCGGGCTCTCTTGTTCGGAATGGGATGCTTTGCGCAGGCCACGACAAGTGTCAGCTTTTAGGTTGTGTGTGTCTGTGTGCGGATTACCCAAAGGCCTGATATAAAGCACATCGTTTTTTTTTTAGATTGGACTTGGCCATTGTTCTCTTTAAAGAGTCGAGTGAAGTGGAGAAGAAAAAAAGGTCAAACGGTGCGCGCTCGGCATCACCCCCCCCCCCCTCGTGTCTGAGCCAGGGTCTGTCACACAGAGAAAATCAAGCACAATATGGTGGAGCCGGTGGGATTCATCGAGGCGTGGAAGGCACAGTTCCCGGAATCCGAACCCCCCAAGATGGAGCTGCGCTCTGTCGGCGGCATCGAGCAGGAGCTGGAGAAGTGCAAGGCGTCCATCAGGCGCCTGGAGCAGGAGGTCAACAAGGAGCGCTTCCGGATGATCTACCTGCAGACCCTGCTGGCCAAAGAGAGGAAGAGCTACGACAAGCAGCGCTGGGGCTTCCGCAGGACGCCGCTCAACGAGGGGATGGACCCCGCGGGCCCGCAGGGGGCCGAGTCCCAGCCCCAGCAGCTCCACATGCAGGAGACCGGCGGGGTCGGGGTCGTCGCCGGGGGCTACGGCCTCTGCAACATGGCCGCCGGGGACAGGAGTCGCTTCCAGCCCCTGGGGGACGGGGGCGGCCGGTCCAAACCCAGGCCCCCGCCGGCCAGGAAGTCGGCCTCCCACGGGGACGGGCTGGAGTCGGCCTTCGACGTCCCGCAGCAGGTGGAGTCGGCGTCCTGCGACAGCCTGGACGGCCTCTCCCCGTCCAAGCAGAGAGGTCCGAGCGGCGTGTCGGCGTCCCCCCGCCGGCCCACCCTCCCGCCGCCGGACAAGGAGCTGCCCTCCGACCCCAAGGACAAGCTGGGCATGGGGCTGGGCGTGGCGGCTCTCAGGTCCAACTTCGAGAGGATCAAGCGGGCCAACTCGCACTCGGCGGGCGACGTGGCCAAAGGCCAGGAGAAGCCGCTGCCCCCGCCGCCGCCGCCCTTCTACACCAACATGGAGTTCCACCACGACCGGGGCCTGGTGAGGGTCAACGACCGGGAGGTGTCCGACAAGATCAGCTCCCTGGGCAGCCAGGCCATGCAGATGGAGCGGAAGAGGTCCCTCCACTCCCTGCCCGGCAATCTGGCCACGGTGGCCGGAGACCTGAGGCCCCGGCCGGTGTACAGGGGCCGGTCAACCGAGAGCACGTGCGGCTACGACGCGGAGTACGAAGACGGCGAGCCCGCTCAGAGGCACGCGGTCAGAGCCAACGGGGGCAAACCCCCCCCCTCCTCCCTGGCAGCCGTCGGAGTTCCAGGCCTACTCCAGCGTGTACGTCGGCGGGGTGATGATGGGCGAAGGGGGCAGTGGAGATGGACGAGGAGGAGGTGGTGGCGGAACCGGTGGTGGCGGGGTGACCATGAGGGACCACGGGGGAGGTGATGACCACCTCCTGACCTGGCCGCGCCGCTCCTACTCGCCGGGCAGCTTCGAGGACGCCGGCGGTGGGGGCGGCGGCTACACGCCGGACTGCAGCTCCAACGAGAACCTGACGTCCAGCGAGGAGGACTTCTCCTCGGGTCAGTCCAGCCACGTGTCGCCCAGCCCCACCACCGCCTTCCGCCGGCCCTTCCGGGAGAAGAGCCGCTCGCCGTCCCAGAACTCCCAGAACTCCCAGCACTCCTTCGACAGCAGCAGCCCCCCGACGCCGCAGTCCCAGAAGCGCCACCACCGGCAGCAGGGGGGCCACGTGGTCATGTCCGAGGCCACCATCGTCAGCGTCCGCAAGACCGGCCAGATCTGGCCGCCAGCCGCCCATCACGACCTCATGCCCCACGGTAGAACGTCCCACGACAACAGTTTCCACGGAGACCACCTAGGTGAGTGTGTTTTTCATTTTGTTTTCTGGGTTCAGACCAATGAGGAGTTAAAGAAGGAGCCCGCCAAAGTGAGTACTGTGCGGCCATGTTTTGGTACGGGATGGCGTGCGTGTGAGTGTGTGTGCGCTCACACACGCGGGCCCGTGTGTGTCCTTTGGATGGCCTTGCGTGGGAGACAGATGAAAGATCCACCTCTGCCTATTCCTGGAATGTAATTTAAGGGGGGTGAACAATGAGTGTGGTCAGTCTGAGTCAAAGAAAAGTCTAGCCTCTCTGAAACAACTCTAATGGCTCTTGTATGTCATTTAAATCACAGGTGTCCTTTTTCCCTAACTGTCTTTCTTTCTGCCTGTCCGAAACTCACAATTCCAATCTCTCTTTAATTGTAAGCTGAAAGAACTCCAGCTTGTAGCTCAAAGTAGAGAAAAAGAAATCCCCTCTTATCTCTTATCAATTTTTTTTGCATAATACACAAACACTAGATCGAGTATGTTAGGCCATGACACCTAAGACAGAACAGCTAGTAGGACGGCACGCAGCCTGAATCCAAATGATCTGCAGAGTGGGTATCTGGGCTACGAGGCTGAAGCACAACAGCAACTGCACTGTGTTGCTTTGAGAAAAGCACACAAAGAGGGCTGAGGTTACTATAATTGCTCGGGAAAGTTTCCCTCCTGGAAGCTGGGCCAGTTCACAAAGTGCTAAACCCAAACACTTTTTGGGTAGCTCAAATATTTGATTTAATTTTTTTTTACATGGACTGCTGTTTACAAAGATGTGGTGAGAAGGAATGGATGCACATTTTGGTGAGTTGCTGTGGAATGGAGTTGTCTAAGAGTGCCTACTGTATAGTAACAAATTCTGGACCTGTGCCCTGTTTGACCAGACAGGCGGCAGGACGCTGGCATGACAGACCTGCAGCCCTGCCAGAGTGGACTGGAAAGACAGATGAGGCTGTAAGATATTGAAAAAAAAGGAATTATAAGAAAGAGGGGGGGTGGGAACCCCAAAAACAACAATTAATGTGTGCCTCACCTTCACAAAGATATTGAATAACTGATTGATTTGAAAGTAACTCAAGAGCTTGATGGAATCTGTTAAGACTTTTTCCAAACAGGATGTGACACAAAGATGTGATATGATAAAAAAAGTTGAAAAAGATCATGCCTAACGGCATGTTAAAGGTCACCACCTTCAACATTTCAGAGAGTTTATTAGCTCCGACGGCTCTGAAGACTGTTTGTATGAAGCGGCAAATCCCCGCAAAGTATGGGCTAATTCTCCAGCTGCTGTGTGCCGGATTATCACTGCACTCTCTGCTCTCTTTGTTTTAACATATTTTCCACAGCGATGAGCCCTGTGGGAAGTTAGGCAAGCCGGAAGGGCAGGGATGTAGCTGGATACTGGAAGTGGAGAGAGAGAGAGGGTGGGGTGGGGTGGGGGGGGATTAGGTGTTTTGGACAGTTATGCATTTAGTGGGATAATCTGGCATTTGATTATAATAAGTAAAATGTTGGTTGGACACCCTGCAGAGTTTGTTGTGTTTTTTGGCGGAATTAAACGAACGCCAGACAGATTAGATCTTTTTTTTACACTGAAATGCACGTCCCGTATTACTGCTGCATCATTTTTGTGCACTTGTGGTGTGTACGTTTGTTTACATTTAATCTTTTTGCCAAGCAAAAAAAAAAGTAAAGACAGTGGTGACGGAAGTAGGGTCAAGTTGATGATGCTAATAGGAGTGGGATGGTGCTTTGAGGAAGACCGAGGCAGGCAGAGTGTAAGGCAAAGCTGTCGTTTCTCGCTTCAATGGCCAGGGATGCGGGGGCTGCAAAGAAGCACAGATGGGAAGAACTCTCCCGTTGTGTAACAGAAACACACAGAGTCAGGCTCTCACACAACGATACACATTTGATGCGTACTTGTACCTTTGGGGCTGCCTTGCCTTCAGAGGAAGGTGTGCCGTAAACAGGCATTCTGGAATCGTGCGGCATAGTTTCGGTTGATGGTCTGACTCTTCTCCTCCTATTTCTTCTTCTGTCGTTGCTGGAGTAATTGTTTCGTGGTGTGTTGTGTTTGTTGCATGTAGGGGGGAATTTTCCCGTTGAAGAGGTCTACATGCTGGGCTGAGTTGACTGTGTCTTTTAGTGGTTACGACAGGGCAAAATAAGACAAAAAAGACTAGTAAAAGGTATTTCCCTTGACTGATGTTCCTAGCAAGGCAAAGCTAGGCTCAAAAAGAAGAAAAGAAAAGAAAAATGTTTGGAGAAAAGAAAAGAAACATGTTTGGAGGCAAAACCATCAGCTGCCAGTTTCTCATTTTTGAACTGCGTTGAGTAAACATGAGGTCGGCAGACTGGATTATCCACGCTGAGCTGGCTATTGGTGATGCTATTTTGCATCACAATGACTCAGATTTGATTAGAAATTCTGTTCAAATGTAGCAACCAAAAATAGATCTGAAGATGGCTGAGGTTGAGTCAAACTGGCACAGGGTTTTTGTAAACATAATGCCTTCTGCATACGGCATCATCAGCTACATGTGACAATGCTCCATGAATTGTTTCCATTAAACCATAAAAAAGGCAAATGTGAACTCTGGACCTGCCGAATACCTGTGGCTCTCCTCCTCTGATAACAGGGAATTGACGTTCTCTCCGATGTGTTAGGCTGTTCAACACATACAAAAGTATTTTAAATGTATATACTACATATTACGGTTTGACACTTTATCTAAAGTTGTGTGTGTGAGAGTGTGTGTGTGATGTAAAAGTATCTGCTGGCGAAGACAAAGAAACAGCGGCAGAGAAAAGGGCTCGGCGTCCCCGAGGGCCCCTCACATTGAATCTGATTAGGCCCTAAGTGTCATTCTGTGTGTGTTTCTCAGTATTTTTCTAATCTAATTTGCTGCTTAACATTATGATCTGAGACACTGTCTTTCTTCATCTTTGCTGATCATGTTTCTTGAGTGTACATGTGTTTGACTTTCTTACCCCCCACCCCCCCCAATCACTGGGCTGTGCCAGAGAAGATCAGAGGCTGCACGTGTCTTCCTCTTAGTTTTTCTGTGGATCTGGAAGTCTGTATTCTATTCTGCATCATGTGATCCGACATTCCCACATGTGCATGGGGGGATAGGGAGTAGGCGGGAGACGAAAAAGGAATGCTTTGCAGTTGTCTGGCGTGGCACAATAACGCCTTTTCACGCGGGCTGGGGAGGAACTATGGCTCTTAAAAAGGCTTATTCAGTCCCTGCAGTTGAGTGGACTTGGCAGTGGGAGCAGCACACAGTAGCTACAGGCTCAAAGTCAGGCCCTGAGCGGTAGAAAGAGAGGGAAAAGGGGATGGGAGGAGAGGGTTAAGAGGTGGAGTTGTAAGGGATTGGGGTGGGGGGGGTGGAGGAGGGGGGGATGGCAGATCTGGCTTTCTTACCAGCTGGTGCTAAACTCAGCTTTTCACGGGGCTTGTGCAACCTGCACAAAGCAATTATACAGGTGCAAAACTGTCCCTTTGTACCTTTTACAGGGAGGATAAACCTTTTTTGAATAATAAAAAGCTGTATACCTATTCACTGTTTGCTTAAATGTCTGATGATAATCAAATTTTTGCCCTCTTGCAATGCTTTTAATTGTATTGTGACATAAAGGGTAACCACATGGGCCGGCTAAAAAAAGAACAGTGCGATGGCTTTACATGTAGCTGCACAAGCCAGGGAGAGATCCTGCTGTAATGTTCCAAACTGTTGCGGTCGTTTTGCGGCAGATAGCCGCTAACTGTTCCAGATCCACCACAGAGGCGAGTGGTCGGAACTTTTTTTGCTCGCGTTGTTTAGCGTGTAGCGTGCACGTCTGTCTGTCGGAGATGGATTCCATGTGTCAGCCGTGGACGTCCGGCCTGGGCCCTGCCATTTGCTGCGGGGTTGGCAGCAGATCCGGGGTGAAGCAGCTCCAGCAGCTCCCCGCTGAGAGTCAAACTGCTTGGCTTGGTTTCTTTGTGTTTTCTGGGGCGGCCAGTGCAAAATGTTCATGGATCGCAAAGTTTCGTGTCCACTCTACATTCATTTTGATACGCAGTATATGCCTGCTGAGAGCTTTGAACATTCCCTTTAACCCCTCGGGTGAAGGGAAACAGAATGGATGAATATAACGGGCTGCTCCTGACAGACATGTGAATGCAAACACTCATAAACACACACTCGTGGCCCTCCAAATCGTAATTGTTCTTCCCTGCCTGTTTATTTCTTCTCCTTTTTGTGTGTTTTTGTATATTTCCCATGCCCAGCGTTCAGCCATAACCCGTCCTCCGGTGACAGACGAGGCTCGCAGAGAGAGAGAGAGAAAGACGGAGGGAAAAAATGGAAAAATCCCTTACATAAATTTTGGTGAATGACTTCCCCACATTTGTGACAGCCCTCTCTTTTGAACGGTGGCCATCTTGGCTCTCGAGCTCGGCTTGTGTTATTTCGTTCGCAGAGGTCGTCATCTGGGCCGGTCACAGTGCGTGGAGACAGAGTTAGTTAGTGTGCGCCCCTCACTGCTCACCACATGCGTTTGGCCTTGCAGCGCTCATGTCTGCTGGTGTGTCTTTTCTGGTTTTATATGCGTCCTAGGTTAACTACATGGGCTGTTAATAACAGCCACTTCTTTAGGGGATGGAAAGAAAAAGGCAGAGTCTTTGGGTTTATGGCTGTGACCACACGGCAATGTGGCATAAATTAAGGTAAATATCCCAATGACTCATGTAGCTCTGAGTTATATAGAGCTGAGTTCTGCTTTTGAATGTCCTTATTTTATTCTGCCCTCAACTTTAAAAGATTTTGCCGCTTATTTTACATGTCAGTTTCCCAGCAGGAAATGCTTTGCAAAGCCTTAAATGGCTCTGAAAGACGGGAGAAAACATTTCTGTATAGGAACTTATGGTGTTAATGATTGGTTTGGCCATCCCAACGAATGGATGGACAACTGAAAGCAGATGTCCTGTATGATAACTTAATTCTAACATTTCAGCATATTGATCCGATCTGTTTTCAGGATTTTGAAAATGGCTGTGTTTAGCTGTGTGTAGCGAGGAGGGACAGTGATACGATCATGACTTTGACAGAGAGCACTGACCAGTCGGGCTGCTCCTGTGATGGTCAGTGTGCCAGCCTGGTTCGGCCCCCAGGTGACACGTTGAAACACGGAGCAAAAACAGGCCCATCGTGATCCTGAACCATAAAGACTGATCCTGTCAAGTAAAGAACCGTGTTTGGCCAAAGTTCATACGAACAAGGACCGGCTAATTAGATATTTGAATAGGGCCTGGCGGCACATATTTCATATGCGTGTATGTAACTGAGATTAAGGGGCTGCAGAAACCCCACTAACAATCAGATTATTATGAATTTCCCCCCTTACATTGCAGGGCTCACACCACACCAGTCTCGGTGAGGCACTAATGCATCATGTCCTATATACGGTATTAAACGGAGGATTATAGTCGCTTACAAAGCAGCTCTGGCAAGTGTGCGTGTTTTAAGAGCTATACAGGAATATTTTCATGTTAAATTTTGAATGTGGAGGGGATTGGGAATTTGTTGGTAAACATTTCTGACTGTCGCTCTTGTGCTAACAGTGGATATAATCCAAGTTTTAAATCAAGCTCCCGTTCAAACCCACTTTTTTTTTCTCCTTAAAAGCTCAGGCCCTCCCCAAATAGCATCCCTTCCCTTTGCAAAGTAACTCTCAAAACCTCGTTATCATCTCTTCAGCGAGGCTCCGCTCTCGCAGCTGCTTTTAGTTTCCTTTGCTTGGAGCCAATTAGAGGTGCATCACCTTCTCTGTCTCTGTTTCTGTGGGGTTTTTCCGCCAAAGCAAAAAAAGGGGGGGGGGAATCACAGAAAGATCAAAGTCGTGACCCCCTTCCCCCTGCAGGCCCTGGCTGGCCTCGCTCTGTAACCGCCAAAGAGGGGTTTACTTGACCAATCCTTATAAAAACGGCCCAATCAATGCCAACTGTCAGCAGCAGGCGCCCTGTCCACAGAGCAGTAAAGACCGTCTGGTCGATTCCCCCGACAGCCCGTTCTACATAAATTCCAGCCTTGTTTTGTGTCTCTCCCTCTGGCTTTCCCTCTACCATTCATCGTGTGTGTACCTGCGATCCATGGCCGTTGCGTGAGCGGACCGTTGATTCGGAAAATGGGTTTAATTGTCTAATTGTTTAATGGAGTTAACCGGAGCTTACTGTCAGTATTAAGGAGGACTGATGGTTGTGCAGAGAGCTCAGCGTTCCTCATCCTGTCCTACGGCCTAAATGCTGTTAAATGAGCAGGATATCAAGAAAGCAACGCTAACAAATGATGACAAAGCTCTTGCTCCGTATTACCCAAGCGACCACGACCGGATTTTTCTTTTTGTAGGTTTGTAAATACTGATACATTGTGAACGTCTGTTGCATTTGGAAGCCGCCTGACTGAAGGCCTTAATCATCAGAAATATCTGAGCATTAAAGTGCTCGGGGGCTCCCTATGTTTTCTTTTGTTCAAAGCAAACATGGGGGTTAAATTGTTTCCAGTGGAGAGCTGAAGAGAGGGGGAAACAAAGGAGGAAGTGCTTCAGACCTTATTAGCTTTCTGTCGCTGGGGATGATGAAGACCTACAGCCTTCATCCTGTTACTCTGCTCGGCAGGATGCATGTCTGCACCTATCCAAGGAGTGTGTGTGTGGGGGGGGGGGGTTTCTGCTGACGTGCCTCTTGACCTACAGTTTGTTTAAATAATCTGTGCAGTATGTAATCTGTCAATATATACGTCCAACCTAGGAAATATTCAACAGCAATCTCACAGTAAGTTAAGCAGTGGAAAAGTTCAAACCCTTAGCTCCCTCCCTGTATCAACATAACCTGAATTAGCTTCAGCTTGACGGGGAACTCAGAAGCATGCTTCCTCAAGACTGCACGCAATTCTGCATGGAGGTTTGTGCATATTGAGAATTCTATCAGGGGCCCATTGCTTTTACAACTCAATAAATTGATGGTTTTTCTTTCATGAATGTGAGATCATTATCAAATTGCACCAGCTGCAGCACAACCATCTCAGCTTCTGACCTTAGCCTGGACACACACAGACAACTAAATAAAGGACTCATCACAGCTGCCCAGCCCCTCTACCTGCAGTGTTAAGCTATGAGCCTCCTGTCAGCTCTCTCACTCCCTCTCTGTTTCTTTCTGCCTGTGTGTGTTTGTGTGTGTGTGTTTTTCCACCTTCCCTCAGGCTGTGTTGGTCTTTGTTTTCACTGGATGACTGGACGGCTATTCTCAATAAGTGGTAGCTGTTAAAGGCAGCCCGGGCTGTTAATGGTGGAGGTGTGTGCACGTGTGCGTTCGCGTATGTGCGTTAGGACATGACAAACCCAGGTTGTTAAAAAACAAAAGACATTATCGGACAGCGATCAGGCTGACATAGGCTGCTGGTCGTCTTGCTGCTTCTGTGTGTAGAATGAAGGTTTTTTTTTTGTGGTAAAAGCATACTTTAGGTCACTCCTCAGCAGCTGAGTTATGCACAGTGGTAAAGGGTCATTTTTGTGTTTCACAATCCTACTTTGTCTATCTACTTTGTTGGTCTCAGGTGAGAGCAGTATGGATTAAAGATACACGTGTGTAGGTGCTGATGGAGGATGAGTGGCCAGATGGAGAAACAAGAGGATAATCTCACTAAATGATAGATGGCAAGCAGAATTGGTCTGGTCTGAATGGATATTTATTAAATGTCGGCAAAACATTTGAAAGTGGAGAAAAACCTTTTTACTAGATTGCAGAGGGAAGTTTTTATATCCATAATGCTTTACTTATGTATTCAATCTTTTTACTGCAGCTCCCCTTTATTGGCTGTTATTTGTCGAGCCGCTAGCTGCTCAGGGACTGGATAAATGTAGGCTCCAGGGGAGGATCAGATTTCATGTTGCATCTCCCTCCTTCCCTCCCCTTTCTCCAGCTCTTCCCCAAATGCCCTTCAGTAACATCTCTCCCCTTCTGTGAAATCTCTTTTATGTCACTTAATATCCTTTTCTCTATACCTCTGACCATTTTCTGTGTCTGCTTGCCCTCCCCCGTTTAGGACTGCTCAGCCTGGAGCCCATTACACATCATAAAGGCTTATTTTAAGCCCAATTTGAACACGATTTTCACGTTTGCTGAGCTAACACTGGACACATCTGCGTGGGTAGTTTGAAGATTTTAATTTGCCCCTTAAGGTCAAATAATATTAGACCTGTCCTGTTTCCGACTTAATGTGATTCCGGAATTGTGACCAGAGCATGAATGAAGATCCCGTATCTGAAATAGATCTGTCATGATACGTGTGATCATCCTCTCTACACAGTCGTTTAGGGTTTTAAAGGCCTTCCTATTTCTCTTCCAGAGACGGAGAGCTGCCAGCAGACATGCAGCCAGCAGCTCTCCGTCTGATCCTCCTCCTATGTACCCGCCAAAACCGAGATGACAAATGCAGCTCTGCAGCTTTATCATTTCACATGTGCTCACCTCTGGCAAAGAACCGTTTGTGCTGCTGAGGCTCAAAATAGGGCAACGGCCACAATTCCTGATCAGGCCTGGAGGGAAAGTCTTTAGCCAACACCTTTAGCAAATAACCCTGGCTGTGAGGGAGAAAACCAACACTGAGGTCATAATCAGGCTTTGTGCCTGTGAATATACATAAAAACAAGACAAATAGGAAATTTGAATAAAATATTAGGATGTTAAATTATTAAAGAAAACAAAAACAGATCAACAATATTAGAGTAAATCTCCATAAGGCTCTGATGTGAAAAAATGAACGATTTCTTTAAGTAGAAGCCTTCTTTTTAACAGTAAATGCTGTGGAGAGTAAGAGGCCAAAACACAAATTATATAAATCTATGTTTTTTATAAATAGCTAGTCAGTGTTATATGGTGTTTTCTGATATTATCATCTTATTCTCTCGTTCCTTCTCTGCTCTTGGCATTCCCACTTATTTCTCTCTCCAATTTCTGCAGTTGTACACATCGCCCTGTGTCATTGTCACAGTGGCTTCCTCTCATTTGGCCTAATTTATAAATCTATAAATGGCAGAATTAGCTTTGGGCCGGGTGACAGTCAATATCTTTGAGTTGAGAGAAGAACAGAAAAATGTTTTTGCTTCTTATGTTAAATTGGCACCATGCCAATAAAGTAAATATTTATTTTCCTCCATTAGACATTGTACAATACATATTTTTCCTTTTTGTGTTTCCTTCATGGACGACACTGTTGCTCATCAGTCAACATACCAAAGCAGATTGTCAGGGATCAAACCTGCTGTTTGCAGAGCTGCGTATCCACTCATTTTGATGAAAACAAACAACTTATTTGCACACATACATCTGCATCTCCCTGCCCCCCCCTCTGTCATCCATTATTGAAAGTGGAGCCCACTTATAAAACGTGAAACTGACTATGGGGACATAGAGTGTCATATTTCCTATTCCACAGCCACTCGCCAGACTGATCTATTCCATGACCCTGGTAATGTAAAATATTCCATGCCCCTAGTAGTAAAATGACAAAAAAGAAAACACGTTTTCATATGTCTGCAAACGGATGCATATATGCTGATATTACACAGAGCAACAACATCCATCCCCTGACACTAATTACTCATTTTACTCAGAAATGAGTCTTGAAAATACAGACATTATTTTAGGGAATAAATTACAGTTGTTGCATCATTTTCCTCTCAAATTGTCAATGAAAATTTTAATATAAAGCTCAAATGTTTATATTTGCGCAAATTGTGTCCATCATCTTTTGAGTTCTAGGTAGAAGCTTCAGCTCAGGATCAAAAATTCCAACTTACCTAAGATCAAACCACAAGATTAGAAAAATGGTAGTACTGTTGCTCTGTTTGTCATGCAAACAGAACTTTCTTGTTTCAGCGTGAGAACGCTGATGATTAAGGTAAACCAAGGGGGCGCTTTATAGATATTCCACGTAGAGCTTGGAGTGGCTGACCGGTTTGTCCAGCTTGTTGTTTGGCAGCTTGTGGACTTACCAGCTGATTATCAGATCAATCTGCTCAAGCAACCTGGAAAAGCATCTGCCTCCAGAGAGACCAGCTATTGAAGTTTGAAGCAGGTTTGGATTGGCTGATAACAAATCTTGTGTCGCTCGAAAATCTTTGGTTATGTTGCACGTACTAAGATAAAGACACACAACACCATATGCTTTCAGGCTTGCTGTGAGGTCATTAGGAAATAAAGTCACTTCTCTTTTGCTGCATTCTCTGCTGGTGCAAGGCACACTGGCAAACCGACATCTGTCCCTCGATGTGTCTCATGCACTTGCCTCTTTCCTCTAATGTGTCCTTAGAAGGCCGCTCCTTAACCTTGCTGTGTGGATAAAAATATCTTGCACTTCTCGCAGTTTTTCCTGCCATCAGCTCTATATTGACAGCAGAGAGTGATCTGTAGGAGCAAAATGTGGTACCCACAGTCTGCTCTCCAGGCCGGGAAAAAGTAGAATAATTTTATTACCGCTGCAGCACGCCCAGATATAGCCATAATTCTATTGATTACCATAGGGGGGATCCACAACAAGGGCACCAGTCAGAGGGCTTTTAAAAATCATTCAGCAGAAGCAGCTGAACCTCTGTTTGCGGAAAACCGATCCATACATACGGTGTTAAGTGAGCCAGGCTGCCTCGTTGAGCCTTTTTTCCCTGCTGAAGTCTTCACCTGCAGATCAGCAGCTTAACAAATTATCCATTATCTGTTCTTCATAATTTTACACGTGCCCATAACCACGCATAGCTGGCAAGGTATCTTCCTGGAAAACAAAACATATGGCTTGGCGTTCCCCACCATTTTGCCCTGACAATATTAGCTGTAATGAATTGAGTTAGCTTGCCAAGGTAGCAGGGCCTCAGTAAAAAAAATAAATAAATAAAAAACGGAACACCGATAGAGATTCTCCCCCAGAGAGCAAACGTTGTGGAATCTCTACTTCGAGACCTCTGTTCCACCGAGAGAAACAGAGGTGTTGTTCTTCTGAATGTGCTCGAGCAAGATATGGGATCAGAGGATTTATGCGCTGTGCCTTTGTGTCTTTTGGTGTGAGCGTTTCAGATCCGCATGCTGTGGACACATGGCTCAATCAATAGATGTCA